AATTACAAGTTTCCAAAATCTCTCCTCTAATATTTCTCTCTTTCCTAAATCTCATCTCATAACAAAGTAATTACATATTTAAAAAAAAAAAGAAGTTATAGATTAAAAAAAATAAAACTACAATTGCTAATTTTTGTAATTTTAAAAATATTTAAAAATAATACTATTGGCTAACAAAGTAACTATAGATTAAAAAAAAAAAAACCCCCCACACAAAATTGCTAATTTTTGTAATTTTAAAAATATTTAAAAATAATACTATCGGCTAACAAAGTAACTATAGATTTAAAAAAAAAAAAAATTAAATTACAAATTCCTAAAATCTCTCCTCTAATATTTATCTCTTTCATAAATATCATAATCTATCTATACTATATATTGGCCCCGTTTGGTAGAACTGTAAGAAAGTGGTTATAACTTATAGCCTAACAGCTTATAGTTTATAGCTGTGAATATAAGCTAATTTTTGACTTATAAATTAAGCTTCTCCTCCCCACTCAAAGAATAAGTTGATTTTTGACTTATAAAAAACTATAAGTTGTATTGTTAAGTTGAACCAAACGCATCAAAATAGCTTAAATTAAACTAAAAGTTGAAATAAGCTGGAAATAAGCCTTACCAAACAGGGTCATTATATCAAAGTGACTTTTCATAAGTGTTTTAAAATCTTAAATCTAATTTTTTGAATTTTTGATTTTTATAAAAAAAAATTAAAACACCTATTGGCTATTCCAATGACACAATTATTAACATTCAAAATTATTTAATACAAATATATTGCTGGTCAATACCAAATAAATAAAAAAGAAAGGAAAAAAACACAAAATTATCGTACAATCAAGCTTTTATTTAAAAAAAATATAAATCTTATACAGTCTTCTATCTCCTAAAATAAATCTAATAAAAAAAAAAAAAATCTCTCACCTCAAATAAAATGTATACTATTAATGTCTTTCACAACTAGTATGATCTATATAAGCTTAAAATTAAGCATAACATAAATTAAAAATTAAACCTTATATCTAGATTATCTCTTTATTTCATAATTAAATACAATTTTATTCTCAAATAAATTTAAGCATATCTATACTATATATAATTTTCTTTTTTTATAAATCTCATACTTCATTTTTTTTAATGATTCCATGATTTTTAATTTAGAAAAAGAAAGATGAATTTTTTATTATTTTTTTTCTTGTGCACTCTTTCTCTAACCAATTCTTTCTCCTACTATTATACTTTCTGCAAGTCATTTATGTATTCCTCGCTCTATAAATATTACATTCATGTAACAACAAAATTCATTATTTTTTATTTTTTTTTAAAGACAATTTGGAGGTTAGTTTATGTTTAGTATATTATATTATTTAAACAGACCATTCATGCATCCTTTAGGTACACCATTTTTTCTTATTCTTTTTTATCTATGACTATTTTTTGTTTTTATATTTCATATTTTGTATGTCGTTTCATTATTCTCTCTACCAACTATTATCTATTTTTTGTTTATAACTATTTTTTATTGGTTACCATTGTTTTCACTAGAATTTTTATACTAATATGGTGTGATAGGGTCATTTATATAATAAAAAATATATCACTCATTATAAAAGTGATAGATCAAAATCCAAACAAAATTGGTTAATATTGTTTCACTATAATTTTTATACTAAAATAGCGTGATATCGAGAGATAAAATACAAAAAAATTAAATGTAATTATCATATTTTTCATAAATAATATATTATTTTACTCTGTACATAGCACGGGTGACATGCTAGTTTTAGTATAATTATACGAACACTCTTTTAATAAGGTTGAAGAGATTAGAAACAAAATAAAATATACATTTTAATATAAAAAATATATGAAAATATAATTTTTTTATTCATGTGACTAACCTTGTTGATGAAATTTAGACTAAGTTTTATTCAAATTAAAATCCTAGGAGAATTTAATGTAATTATGTAAATTTTGTGAATCTTACTATATTTTTTTTCCCCAAATATTAAGAAAAGTCATTATAATTTACTCTAAATGATGACTTCATAATTTCCAATCAATTTCTCTAATGAATGATTAGCTGTATGAGGCAAAGTGTTAAGAAGCCATGTTTGGTTTCGTTGTCTGCAATTTTTTTTTCATATTTTTTTTTAAAACAAAATATAAATTAGTTTGAAAAGAATAAATATACGAAATATATATTTAAGATTTCAAAAATCATTTTTGTCTTCCAAGAAGATAAAATTATACAAAAATAAGTGTTTTTATTTTTTTCACAAAATTAATTTAATTTTTTTTTAAACAAGAGAATCAAATCAAAATGACTTATATTTTGAAAAGGGATAGGCTTCTCTCCAGTCAATTGCGTGGACTGTTGCGTATTGTTGGGTCTGTGGGATCTATCACAAGTCCCGTTTTAACAATTTGAACCGTTCAATATATAGAACTCGTCAAATACTTTATGCTTGCAAAAAATCACGTTGATTGAATATTAGTAGTCCCTTAATTGGAACATATTTTTATTAATAATTTATTTTTAAAATCATATTTACCATTAACAAAAATGTATTTTGATTAAGGGGCAGCTGATATCCGATCAAAGTGATTTTTTGTTGGCATAAAGTACTCGACAAATTTTACATATTGAACTATTCAGATTATCAAAATAAGACTCGTGATGAGTCCCACAGACCTAATAATGCGTTCTAATTTACATAGTGGATTTGAGAGAAGCTTCTCATTTTAAAAAATAAAATACAGTTATGTCTAAATTGTATAGGATTACTCTTATAAAGTGAGGCAAAAATATTTTTGAAAAATATTATTTTATTCTGAACTAAAAACAGAAGAAGTTATTACGACATAAAGATATACATGTGTATAATTAAATAAAGAGAAAATTTCAGATCAGTATAGAATTAAAAAATAAATATAAAGTAATGATAAATTTTATCAATATTAATAATTAAAATTATATTATGAAAAAAGTTATGGACCCAAATTAATCCATTCAAAAAAATTATGAGTGGGTGATTATATGGTGGAAATTAATTAGTATAGTGTGAAATTTGTGTATAAAATAAATCTGAACCATATAAAAGGATTTTGAATAATTTCTAAATTGATAAGAGTAGATTTAGAATAGGGGCATTTATATATGAGTCTCATTTTGTGAACTTATACTCCATTAGGTCCTAGATAAAATTATTTGCTCTTTCAAATCCCATTAATTTTTAATAGACCAATTTACCCATCCAAACCCCCTTCCCTCTCCACCAAATCCATCGGCCATTCCTGCGAATTTTCTGATCTTTTCTCTCGTTTTCTTGACTTGGCGATGTTCTTGTTTTTGTCAATTACTACTCCCTCCTCCTCTCTGTCTTTTCGTTTTCGATCTGTATGGTGAGATTCGTGTTCGGTGCTTAGATTTGAATTCGGTGTTGGTTTGGTGTTTTTTTATTATCAATTAATTTGATTTTTATTGCTACTGAGAGGTAGGTGTGGGGCTTGTAGGTGATTGTAAGGGTGAATTAGGGTTACATTCTTTGTGTTTAGATCTCTTCTGTTTTTTTTAGGGGGTAGCCGGGGCCTCGGCCTTGGCGGGTTCTAAAGCCCCCAGCTATACACCAAAAAATCTAAATACAAATCTCAATTTTTTTTTTATTTTTTTTTTACTCGAAAAACAAACGGTGAAGAGATGCTTGTCCTAGCGTGTTGTGTAGTTGACGCTACCGCCGCTGCTCCTCCTCATAACGTCGCGGCCTGGGATAGCTCTTTTTCTGCACCGGAGCCATTTTCTCTGACCCAGTTTGTATTACCATTGCTTCAATTAGAAGCTCTAGATTTTGTTTTTCAATCGGAGAGAGAAAGTGAATAGCTGAGACGAGAGAACCAATTGGGAGATTGAGACATATTGCAAAGAGAGATAGAGAGTTTTGTAAAATTGAGAATAGAATTATCTTTCTTTTCAATCCCACACTTTTCTCAGAAGCTAAACAGAATTTTTTTAATTTGGATAATTATATACTGAAATCATTCTCTGTTTGAAAATTGAGAATATTCTCAGTTTTGAAATTGAGAACATTATCAGTTTTGGGATTAGAGGGCAAAACGTCTTTTTACCTATAAATGGGACTTATTGATTCAAAAACTTTTTGACAGGACCTAAGCTACACCAAATATGTAAACACGACTTTTTTGGTAATTAACTAAAGAATTACGAATTACTCTTATATTATTTTCATACATATATAATACTAATTTTCTCAAATTACCCCCAAAGCTTGTCCTAGCGTGTTGTGTAGTTGACGCTACCGCCGCTGCTCCTCCTCATAACGTCGCGGCCTGGGATAGCTCTTTTTCTGCACCGGAGCCATTCTCTCTGATCCAATTTGTATTACCATTGCTTCAATTAGAAGCTCCAGATTTTGTTTTTCAATTGGAGAGAGAAAGTGAATAGCTGAGACGAGAGAACCAATTAGGAGATTGAGACAGATTGCAGAGAGATAGAGAGTTTTTTAAAATTGAGAACCTTCTCAGTTTATAATATTCTCAATTTCAATCATGAAAAAATTGAGAAATTTCTCAAAATTGATAATTATAAATTTCTTAGAATATTCGCAGAATTATCTTTCTTTTCAATCCCATACTTTTCTCAGAAGCTAAACAGAAATTTTTTAATTTTGATAATTATATACTGAAACCATTCTCTGTTTGAAATTTGAGAATATTCTCAGTTTTGAAATTGAGAACATTCTCAGTTTTGGGATTAGAGGGCAAAACGTCTTTTTACCTATAAATGGGACTTATTGATTGAAAAACTTTTTGACAGGACCTAAATTACCACCAAATATGTAAACACGACTTTTTGGTAATTAACTAAAGAATTACTCTTATATTATTTTCATACATATATAATACTAATTTTCTCAAATTACCCAAAAAAAAAAAAAAAAAAAAAAAAAAAAAAAAAAAAAACAGAGAACAGGGCAATGAATAAAAAATTTTCCCTCCAAATAAAGAACGTCGGGAGAAGAGAGATATCCGGGGGTTCGATGATATGAATCTGAGGAACCATCATCATCAACCACTGGCCCCGCTCTAAATGGACGTGCCTTTGCTTCACCAACGGGTTTCCGTTGGCCAAAGTCTGGGGACGTGATCCACAGTCCTCAAACAAACCCTCCATCCCCCAAAAAAAACCAAAAAAAAAAAAAAAAAAAAAAAAACCTCTCTCTCGCTCTGACCTTTTGCCTTTTTCCAGTTGTTTACAATTTCTTCTTCCTCAATCCACACTGTCATTTTCGTTAAATTATAATCTGTCTGTACAGTTTCTCTGCCAAGGTACGCATCGAATCTTTGTCTGCAATCCACACTTGCCTAATCTTTACGCATTTCGAACCCTAGATAGATTGATTCATTTTTTTTTTTTGGTTTTGTAGAGTGTTTGTGGTTCGTTCGCATCGCATTGCCATCGATCGGGCTCAATTGGATCAATGTGAATGCAGGTTCTTGGTGAGAGGCGTTGATCTCAATTGATACTCTTCCGAGAATGCCATTCTGAATCACACAAATATGACCAACCGTAACACCGATTATTCAGAAAAGGTACTCATCACCTGTTTCCATCAAATATCATTTAAACATGTTTATGTTTATATAGATATATATGTGTGTGTGCGCGCGGGGATGTGGATTTTGTAATTATTTCGGTGGATAGGTTGAAATTTAGTTAATGTTCGTTGTTTGTGTTTCAGGGTGAGGGTGGTAATCTCCCACGCCCGGCCAGGCCGCCTGATCATTCTCGTGGCAGCGGCAGTAATAATAAGGTAATTGTCTCACTTTCCGTCTACTGATCCTATTGTTGTTGCTGAATTTATATTCGCAGTGTGATCACCAAATGTGATATTGTCATGTTGCTGAGTTATGTTTGATAATATTTATTTAATACGAGATTGACTATGGGGTTAGATTGCTGGATTTCCAATTGCTATGATTATCCTCTAAACAATATGAAAGGATTTTTAAGTTTAAGCTTATATATCTAATATAAAATTTACCATGACTGGCAAGGTAAAAAAGAGTGCTGACTTTTTTTGTTTTTTTAATAAAAATTTTAGAAGTGATTATTGATTGATTGCAAAATTTGATGGGTGATGCACCGTTTCCCCTTTTTGTTTGTCTCTCCTGTGTCCTGATTTCTAGAAATAGCTGAACTTATGTGTTCTAAAATTTACTGCCCCACAGGTTTTCAAGAGCGGGCCACTATTTTTATCTTCCAAAGGTGTGTTTTGCTTCCTCATTGTGCTACTCGATTGCTGATAAGAATGATAAACTACAAGAAATTTGGAAGGATGGCACACAATGTTTTCTCTCTTTTGTTTATTACCCACCTGGTTGATAATATGTGCCTAACATCTGCTTTAAATGTGCATTCAAAATCACATGTAAGGTACATCATTATCATATTGTGAAGAGTATGACTTCATCTTAAGTTGCTATCATGCAATTCTTCTTATGTAGGAATTGGATGGACATCCTGGAAGAAAAGGTGGTTTATTTTGACACGCACCTCACTGGTCTTTTTCAGAAGTGATCCAGTAAGTTTCATTTTCTAAATGTTTTTGTTATATATTATACAGCTATGTTCTATATTTTAAGTAGCTACGTTAGAGTCAGATTTGTAGTCTTTATATTTCATAAGTTTCTATTGAGTTATTGTTAAAAAATTGTGTACCTCTTCTCCTTTCACCTGATTGAATTGTTCTAAGGTTGTATGACGTCCTACTTGATGCTTTCTTTTTCAATTTTGTGGAATTCTTGAAGGTGACTTCAATTTATTTCCTATGGTCACGTACTGGCATCATTCTGCCTGTGGCCAGAAGAATCTGGTTCGCAAGTCCCGTAGCCTCTGTCATAGTTGTAGTGGCTAGAATCTTTATCAAATTGGAAATGTTTCAAGGGAAGTGAAGGTGTTCTCTAGTCCATTCAGTACCTTGAGCTGCTGATTGTTAAGTTTGTAGCTTGCCCCACACATGATGGATAATGTGATTCTTGTCTTGTTGATGGTAAAAGTGAATACTGATGAGAGGTCAATATTTCAGATTACAAGATCATGAGTTACCATACCCGTGTTCTGTTGTGACTGTAAGTTAGTTCATGTCTCTCTTTTCTGTACGGTTCTAAAGTAAGACCTTCATCAATTTGTCACTCTTAGTGATTTGATTAGGAGCTGAGTTTTGGATGCTATTATATGAAAAATGAACCGAGATTAGTGAGTTGGTAAGGGAGCCATACAATGGATTCATAACTGTATGATTGGAATAATTTGTGGTGGTCTACCATAGTTGTAGCCCATAATTATATGGATTGGATTGTGTGCGGATATAGATAAACCACAAGTTTATTAATGCAGTTGACCAATTAGCTTTGTTCTATAGAATCACCTTTGATGTTTCAACTAGCTAGAAACTTTCTGGGTAACATCCAAGTGTCAAAATCAGAGTAGACAGGGATGGGTTAAGAAAGTGTCTTCTATGTTTTATGATTTTGTTAGCCTTGATGGTGCCATGCCTGAAATAACTTGCTTTGAGTTTCTGGTGCCTTCCCCCCTTTATATGTTTTCTATTTTGCTTGGACTTGACCAGACAACTGATCTTATCAGGATCCTAAATAGTGAATTTTTTTTGTTAAGTGGTTATAGGGGTATTGTCTCATACATTGCCAGCATTTTTATTTCTATGATATGAAATAACATATTCCCAATTTGGCAAATCTTGGTGATGTCCAGAGTGGTGCTGGACTATTATGGGGGGTGGTAGATGACACTAACTCTATTTTTCAAATGATGTGTAATTGGCAGTTGATTATAAAGAGAAGGAAGCAGGATCATTGTTTTCCCGAAACTAAGAAGTTGCAGCAGGATAGAATTAAGTCGTTGGCCTTTATCTGTTTATTTTTGTTTCCTTGTCCTTTCCCCTTCTTTGGTTGCAAACATTCCGGTCATTCTGCAGTGTCATTTTAGAGTTTTTTGTTTGATGTAGATTGACCAGTCTTGAGTTGCATCTTTGTATGGTCTGCTGGTATGTTACTTTTGGTTCAGTATGACACCTTTATATGAAAAATGTTTTGTCAAAGAGTGAATATGATCCATAGTTGTTAGTACCAGGTTACTGGTTGCAGCATTCTAGCAATTATTTTAAACTTTCTATTTGGGATAGTAAGTGCAATATGGTAACTTAATGAGCATTGGTAATGATAAACTCTTTTGCTTTAGGATTGGATGTACTCATGCCCAGAATGTGGTTTGGTGTCACAGACACTTTTTTGTGTGGACAAGGGACACATAGGAATTTAGGCATTGCCCACTTGACTGAATTAGGTAAATATAGGCTTAGCCTCTCGTCAGGGAAGGTTCGGTGTCCAACGTCGCGTAGAAATGGAAAAAAATGATGAAGATCTAAAGAATTGCTAGAGAAATTGATAAAAAGAAGCACTTTGGGATATCAGGATGTATGCTTATTGAATTCAACATTTTAGGGCCACAACTGTCTACACAAGTGTTCTTGGTGTGATTTGTACTTGTTTGAAATAACATATTTTTTGATGTTCTTTTTCCAAAAGTGTATGTGCATGCTTGCATGTGTATAAGTGAGTGTGCAGCATTGTTTCATTTTCATAATTTTAAAATGTTTCATCTGCCATTGATTTACTTTCAGAGTGCTATTCCTCAAAAGGGGAGTGAGGTGAATCTGACTCTTGGTGGTATTGACCTCAACAATTCAGGCAGGTTGGCTTGCTTCTTTTTATTTGAAATTGGTCTATAATCAGTCTTCCTGCATGCAGTTGCTTGTTATGATGGTTACTGGAATAATTTACTCACCCTTCTATGATTCTTTCTTCAAATGTTTAGTGTGGTTGTCAAAGTAGATAAAAAGCTTTTGACTGTGCTCTTTCCTGATGGTCGTGACGGGCGAGCTTTCACACTTAAGGTGCCATTTATTTTTTTGTGTTTAATTTGGACGTTGGTTTTTAGTTAAAATGTACCAGTACTGTTTTTCCTCTATTTCCAATTCTTTCTTCTATGGGTTTCCAATTTTAATTTTGTTCTATTTATTTTCACTTCTTTAGCTCTTTCTTTCTCTGAAGTGTGTTGACTTTCAAATTCATTTCCAGCAGCTTGTGAGCTGGAATCATGAATATTGCTTCTAATTTCACACACACAACACCCAAATGTATGAATATTTAATAGTAACCACCTTACAACATTATATAATTGAATGGGAGGGGTTGAATCTGACTGGGGCTCTTGGTGAGAGCTGCGTGGATCTAGATTTTCTTTATGCAGGATAAACATTTGAGCAGTAGTGGAGAAAACTTGGTAAAGTAAAATATACTTGGGGTGAAACGAAACACAAGATTCGGGGGGCGAGGCAGGGGTCTTATGTTTTCTCTTTATATTATTGTTGTTATCATCATTACATGAGAAGACTCTGGTCTTATTATATAAAATTTGCTGCTGCTGTTGTGATGTGCTTATTGTTAGCTTTTGTTGCTGCAGGCTGAAACTTTGGAGGATTTATACGAGTGGAAAGCTGCACTTGAGGAGGCTTTGGCACTAGCACCAAGTGCCACTCTTGTGATGGGGCAAAATGGCATATTCAGGAATGACCAGGCCGACACATTTGATGGTTATGTGGATCAATGTATGCCCCCAAGTTTTATAATTGCGTGTAACAGTTTTTCTCCTTGAATTACCACATATTTTCAGGTCTTCTGCAGTAGAGTTATTGTGTATGACTTAATGGCCAAGTTCATAAAGCAGTTCCTTGAATGAGCAATATTATGTTGGATATAACCCTAGCTTTGATTGGGTTCCAAGCCATTATTCTGGTCTATATCTATGGTTGCATACGGAGAGAGTTGACCTTTTTGATAGTGGGGGAAGATGCTTGCTTTTGTTTCTTCAATTATTGTGTAACACATAAATTTTTTAACATGAACTTGATGACTGCTGCTAGTGCTGATGTGCAGAGGAAATTACTATGACAGTTCCTTTAGTATGTAAATTTTGATGCATTGTTTTTTTTTTTTTTGGGGTTCACTAGTTGTGATTTTCCTTTAATCTGCTCTGTTGATGTCATCAATTTATTTCATGGACTTGAAATAGAAAATCAGTGATTGTTTTCTTTTCCTAATATGTTGATTTGGTATTGTTCTGAACCTGTAAAACTTTACTCTTTGCATTGTTCTCAACTTTCTTGAAAAATTGATTTTTTTCCTCTTTCTCCTTTTCTTTTTATTCTCTGTAGTGAAGGATAGGCAGCCGGTGAAATCTTTGGTCATTGGTCGGCCAATTTTACTTGCTTTGGAAGATATAGATGGAACCCCATCTTTCTTGGAGAAAGCCCTTAGGTTTGTGGAAGAGCATGGTGAGATACCTCTTTTTGCCGTCACTTATGTGATTTATCTCCAACCTTTTCTAAATTCTAACCTTTTGTTTCTAAGGATAGATAGAAAAGGTTGGAGATAAATCCTTCTGCACGTGCCATTTTAGGATTCAAAAAAAGGCTTCAAGTTCGGCAAGGTGATAGCTATATTATGAGTGCTGTTGGCTTTGTGTGCTTTCCCCCTTGTTTTTAGTTCACGGTAGTGTATCAAACTATTGTTTATTCCAGTATTCGATGGAATGTTCCAGGCACTATACACGAGAAGTTTCTGATTTTAGTAGTGGTAGCTCATTGGCAGCCTCAAAATATAGTAAAGCCCTGTAATATAGGCATCATTACAAAGTAATCCCAAGTGTTCCATTTCCTGTAGAAACAAGATATTATGATAAGGGGATCAAGGAGCTTTTAGTTATTTTTGTATAACATGGTATTATGATTTTATTGTCAACCTACAGATTTTCGTACATTTCATGCTGGGATGTTCACACTGTATGATACTCTCTTCATGGAATTGCAACAAAGAGATCGGAAAATTCGGATAGGGAACACCTAATGAATATAGATTTTTGTGCCAGAAAACGCTCATTCGTGAGTGGTAAAGAACATAATATCAACATATCCTACCTCCCAAAAGAAAAAAAGAGACAATATTCTAATCTTTTTGGTCTATTTACATGTCCTGCACCTCTGATATCCCAACTATTGTGGAAATTCTTTGCTTCTCATCTTCGTTCTGTATTAGTTACCTTTGCAGGGCCTATTATAACCCATCAGTATTTAACTGTAGTTTTCAATTGGTTTTTCTCTTCTATCCTTCCTCCATTTGGCCTCAAAATTTTATTAAGTTAAACCTTTACCAAAGGCTATGTTTGTATTCACTAAAACCAATTTCTAAATCATCCTCCCCTAATAATTTTGGCATAGAAATGTCTACTTATTTGTGTGCAAGTTTGCTTGTTTGTCTCTAATCATTTGACAGTAATGTTCCAGGAGTCAAAGTAGAGGGGATATTGCGGCAAGCTGCCTATGTTGATGATGTTGAACGTCGAATTCGAGAGTATGAGCAGGGTTAGTTTGCTTGGATTCTTGGGTCCTCGTGATTACATGTCTATGTCTTCATTGTTACACCTATTTTAGGTAGTGTCTTTTTTTTTGTTTTGTTTTTTTGTTTTTTTTGTGTGTGTGAGAGAGAGAGAGAGAGAGAGAGAGAGAAGGGGGGGTACTGGGTTCTGTACACAAGGTTTGTGTATATATATTGGCAGGGTTTTTCAAATGTGTTATTGAAAATGAAAATGATCAAAATATTGAAGTGCAGTCATTTTTGGACCGATTTCAAGATAGTTATTCTTTTTCTTTTTGGGTTTAAAAAAGGTATGTCAAGTGCATTTTTACTGGTCCTTTTTAATTTTCAATTTTCAGAAATAGGAAAGTGTTTAAAAAATGACTCTCAATTGGCCTCCTTCTCATCTTTCTGCTTATAGTAAAGTGTTATATGAGTGAATTTTCAGTTACCAATCTTGAGGATGTGGGTGGTGAGAATATGGTTACTAATCATTAGCTTTTCTGTTTTCCACCAGGAATTTGTATCATTTTATTGAAATTTCTGTCATGCACTGAAATGAAGTCCCTTTAACACACGCAGTATGCATACATATGTACTTATAATTTCTTTTGGATGAAAAATGTGCATTTATTAGTGAATCAGGGATAGTGCCAACAATATTGTTGAAAAAGTATTTTAAAATAATGGTAAAGAAAGGATCCAGTTTACTGAGCGATTATTATTGAAAAGGAGCTCAATTTTGTTTTTTGGGGGTAGTTTCTTTATATACACACACTCACATATATTATTTGTAGTAACCCACCATGGTTGACTTGTTTTTGTCCTCTTCTATATTTCAGGAAAAAATGACTTCTCTTCAGAGGAGGATGCACATGTTATAGCTGATTGTGTCAAGGTATCTCCTTCAATCAGTGGAAAACACACAAAAAAAAATCTCATAGGCAACAAGTTTCTGGAACCTAGGTTATTTTATTTACTGTTTCCTGTATGGCATTGTTCCAGTATGTTCTTCGGGAGTTACCATCATCTCCAGTACCAGCATCTTGCTGCAATGCGCTACTGGAAACACGTCGTGAGTTTTTCATTGGAGTTTGTTTCAATTGGATCTGTTCCTGTATTGAGCTTTCTTCATCTTTGGCATTGGTTGATGTTCCCAACTTGTCTTCTTCTTATTCCTTTTTTTTTAATAATATATATTTTAAAATTATTATTGTTTTTTTTTTTAAATATTACCTCTAATGGTGTTTATGTTGGTCACTTGCTTTACCTATATGCATACATAAAAAAATTCTTGAATTTTGGAATCTTCTTTGATTTATTATTGTTTATGTGTGAATCAACTAAAATTCTTCCTATATGTAATACGAAAGGTTTTTCAGATGTCGTGGCAGTACTTGGTGAAGTAGGTGAAGTGGAGTGTGTAGTGGAGTAGGTGAAGTGGAGGTGGAGTGGTGTAGTAGGTGAAGTGGAGTGTGTAGTGGAGTAGGTGAAGTGGAGGTGGAGTGGTGTAGCGGGTTAGGTTTAGTGGAGTAGGTTTAGCTGTACATTAACAAATTTAGAGTTAAGTTCTCTTTTCTTTTTAACAAATGTTTCCTTACTAAAACAACAGGAGTTTCAAAGCCGCCTTTAGGTTTCATTTTGATATGAAATGGAAATGTTTTAGTTGTTCCTATGAAACAGTTCAAAATTCTTAAACTATGCCAAACTAGAGAAGGAAATAATAGGGGGATATTTTAGGACCTTGACTAGGGTTGTTTTGGATTAGATTACACAGTTCATGAGATCAATTCAGCAGTTTATCTTCAAACTGGGTTTGTGTGGCTTTCAAGATATATTTTCTGGATAATTGTTGGGCTCAAAATGTAGTCTTCATTTTCCCCCTCAAGTTATTTATATCCTAATAAATAGAAGTGATGTCCGGTAGTCGTCGAAGGTCAATTTTTTATTTTAGAATAGAGGTTACCAATTCACAAGTTCCAAAGTTGTCTATCTAGGCATATCTTTTTTGTGCCTCGGCCCGTGATCCATGTCTCATGAGAGTGATTGTTTTTATTTATTTATTTATTATTTTTTCAAGTCACCAACCGTGCTTATTTGTTTTGTAAATGATTTATTTCATATTTCTCGATTGAAATATGCTCTCTCTCTCTCTTGGTGTTTCAGTAGACATCATTCATATAGATTAATTAATAATTAGCAATCCAGTGGTGGAACTCGGAGATTTTTCAGTGCTTAATTATGTTATTATGCTTCTAATATATGTGAAACACATTTATAAATATCCTTAATACTCTTCTATTTATTACTGCCTTTTTCTATTTACTAATAACCTATATACATGTATGTGTATATATATATATATATTAACTATTACATATTAATCTTGTAAAATTGTGCTGTATGCCTTGAGGTTCATCCTCACCTTGGAGGTGTTAAACAACTTAAACTGCCTTGCCGATCTTTTTACTTTCAAAAGTTTTAGTTAAACTATGATCTCAATCTGGCAACACCAAGAGTTCAGCTCTAGCAAGTTATTTCCTCTTAAGGATTGGTTAGAACAAGAGTTGTGCTAGATGCTCCAAACATGTCCTACGTGATGAATCACTTCATAATAACAATGTTTTGTATAAAGCCAAAAAAAGGTATTCCAAACTGCAACAGGCAACAAATAGCAATAGCTAGAGTTTCAGGGAGGACAAAACATTGAAAGTTATGAGGAAATACAGTGATCGTGTGTTTGATCTGAAGATTGAGCAGAAGGTAATTATTGTTCAGGTTGATGAGAGATCACACGGGGAGGTAGTGGAAATCATTGAAAGGAATAGGCATCGCAGTTTCACATTGAAACTTGATCTGGGAGAGGTTTTCTGGGCATCACAGGCTCTCAAAGATGCTGCAACCATGACTGACAAAAGGTAGTCCTTTAGAAAGTACACGAATAGCTCGGTTGTTTTCTGTCTTCAGTGTTATTCAAATAGGAGAGGTGAGTTTGTGGAACTAGCCAAGTGGGTTGCTGGGATAAGATCATCAAACATTATCATCCCAACAGGAGTCAATCGTCAGGGGTGGAAGGATGTAGCTGGGTTACTTGAAACAATTCTACTTGGAACAAGGCAGAACATTCGTGCTAGAGATGCAGAAGGTAAGAAGGTAGGTAAGGTGACAAGAAATGTGGCCATGGCAAGGGATCTTCGAAATGATGTTTGGTCGAATGGGGCCAATAAGGAGGATGACATAGAGGAAACGAGTTAGCAAATGAAAACAAGGGCAAACAGAGGATGGTCGTATGCGGAGATTCTCAAGCTTCCATCATCAAGTTCGTTAAAGGATGGTTCTTCGCTAGTACTCCAGCAGGCAGTGGTGTGTGAGAGAGCTGATTTCTTTATAGGGTGGGAGCAAATTGAGAAGGAATTATGTAAATCTTACAAGATACCTATCAAGCTCCGTCCCTTTCAGTTGAATCGAGCTCTGTTTTCACCAAGATCGAGGATGTGGCTGCGTTCTACGGGGATAAAGGGTGGCAGTTTTTTGGTAAGGGTATAGCTGTATTGCTGGAGAGGTGGTCAGAAGAGAAGCATAGGAGATCTAGTGTGATTGCTTCGTATGGAGGCTGGATTGCTATTTGCGATTTGCCGTTTAATTTATGGAATATCAGAACTTTTGAACAAATTGGGGCGAAATGTGGTGGGCTCTTAGAAGTGGACAACAAAACCAAGAATTTTGAAAACCTTTTTGAGGCAAGATTGAAGGTGAGAGGATCGGTGTCTGGGTTTTTACCATCAACTGTGGAGATTTCGACGACTCATGGAGCAATCACTGTGCGAGTGAAGGCGATTTTGAAGTTCTTCAGACGAAGGGAGGGTCATCGACAATGGAATTTACGGCGAGAGATCCCATTGGAGCTTGGCGCAGGAGGTGGGGGAGATGAAGAGACTGAGGGGACCGTTGGGACACGTGGATGTCTAGTTCCCCAGGATGTTGGAGTTCACGAAGAGGCTCTTCTGTTCGACAGAGAGAATGCCAACGGGGAGGGAAGGTCAAGCGTTGGGCATGATTGTATTGAACATGGGCTTGATGTTATGGGCTCCAGAACTCGAAAGGCTATTTTAGGTGAAGATGGGCTGTTGGGTGAATTTCGGCCCAGGCCAGTTTTGGGCCTTTCTTCTGTTTCACTTGCTGACCGGGTTGGTGATGATGAGAGGATTAATTTGGGCCTCTCTTGCACTCGTCGTTTGGGTTAAGGTCTGAACCATGTGGGTGATGGCCCATTGGGTAATAAACAATCAAGTTTTATTTTGAATCACAATGGGCCTAAATCAGACTAAATGGGTACTCCTATTCGAGGGTCGGATCTAGGGCTTTGTCGGGTTAAGGCGACGACGGGTGTTCTCGAAGGGGTGAATGATTGTATACAGGTAGCGACGCAGGCGGATGACAGGGATGAAGGTAACGTTAGTTGGAGACAGAAGATTGAGAAGGTTGGGGCTGATCAGGGTCCGACTTTGCTGGTTGGGTTAAACCCAAATGAAGTTCATTTGGGTTTGGCCGATGTGGTTGATCGCTCCTCAAGTCAGCTTCTTCAGATTGAGTGACCCTTCGAAGTTAATTGTTTGGCTGAAGACGAGGATGTAGCGATCGAATGTTTACCTGGTGTTGACAGACTGATTCATGATGTGGAAGGGGGCATCTGCGATCCACAAGGGGTGCTCCAAGCATTGGAAGGATATGGTTCTCAAGACAGTTTTGAGGATTCCCTGGGTCCGAATGAGGAAGCTGATGACTATTCGGAGGAGGAGAGGGTTGATGATTCTGACTTGAATCTCAGTTGGCTATACCATGATGAGGAGGTACCAAATTCTTCTTGTATTAAGCACACTGGGGGATCTGAGGGTGAGGCAGTCTTCAATTCTTGTGAACAGGTTGGTGACTCTATTGACAGGGATAACATGAATTCTTCACTTCATCCTAATCTTCAGAGTCCTCATTCTGTGTCAGTTAGGGGAGAGGAGGGGGAGTCAGTATAGGGTCCTTGTTTCTTACAAGCTACCAGAATGGTTTCTAACAAGAATGATAATTTGCCTCTGTTACATGAGAATAGGATCTCTACCAGTGGCAGTTTGAACCCTCAGCTGAATAATATGGTTACTAATAAGACTGATCTTTTGAGGGAGGAGTCTCCTAATCATAGGCTTCAAAGGAACATTGTTAGTGGCAACGATGGTGCCGAGTCCGAAATGTGGTTGAGGGAAATGAGTATGTGTCTTTTCCTTTGGAGGGGGATGATGTGCCTCACTTTGCACAGCTACTTGAGACTCTTGGGTTGGCGCTGGTCAGGAATACTGGGAAGAAATCTCGGGCTAGGAGGGTGGGGAATCCATCTGGGGGGGATGGAAGTCAAAGAGGTTCGGGGCTTAGGAAAGGGATGAGGGAGTTAAGAAACCTTGAGAGTAGCATCAATTATGAGAGGCGGGGCAAAGAGGCAAGGGGTGATGATGGTTCCCGATGAAGATCTTTAGTTGGAATATTCGAGGACTACGGTCTCGTAGGAAAAGGGCGGTAGTTGAAGAGGTTTTGAAAATTCATCAACCAGATATAGTTATGTTTCAAGAGACAAAGTGTGAAGAGTGTGATAGGGTTTTTATTAGAAGTGTTTGGGGGACTCGATTTAGGAGATGGGCTGTATTGCCTTCTAGGGGGAGATTAGGGGGAATTTTGATTATGTGGGATGAGAGAGTTGTAGCGGAGTGCAAGGTAGTTGTTGGGGTATTTTCTTTGTCCATTAGGAGTATGAGGGACTTTGATTCTTTTATTAGGGAGTGTGAGTTGATTGATCTCCCTTTGAGCAATGTGCGATTCACATGATCTAATTTGCAGGAAAATCGGATGTGTTGTAGGTTGGATAGGTTCCTTCATACTTTGGGATGGGAGGAGATGTTTCCGGATATAAGGCAAGAGGTTGTCCTGTGATTCTAGAGAGTTGTCCTTTTAAATGGGGTCCTATCCCATTTAGGTTTGAGAATATGTGGTTGGAAAATCGGGATTTCAAGGCATTCTTTAAGGAGTGGTGGGAAAATGCCCGTGTCCATGGGTGGGAGGGTTTTAAGTTTATGCGAAGGTTGAGAGGAGTCAAGGAAAATCTTAAAGTTTGGAAACGTGAAGTTTTTGGGGATATGGGTGAGATAAAAGCAAAATTAGTATGGGAGATTGGGTTCCTTCATACTTTGGGATGGGAGGAGATGTTTCCGGATATAAGGCAAGAGGTAGGGCCCAGAGTGGTGTCAGATCATTGTCCTGTGATTCTAGAGAGTTGTCCTTTTAAATGGGGTCCTACCCCATTCAGGTTTGAGAATATGTGGTTGGAAAATCGGGATTTCAAGGCATTCTTTAAGGAGTGGTGGGAAAATGCCCGTGTCCATGGGTGGGAGGGTTTTAAGTTTAAGCGAAGGTTGAGAGGAGTCAAGGAAAATCTTAAAGTTTGGAAACGTGAAGTTTTTGGGGATATGGGTGAGATAAAAGCAAAATTAGTATGGGAGATTGGGGAGTTAGACGTGAAGGAGGCTGGGGAGGGTTTATCTCAAATGTTAAGGTATAGGAGATCAATGATTAGAATGAAGTTGGAGGAGATCATTTTTAGGGAGCAAATTTTTTGGGGTCAAAGAGCTAAGTTGAAATGGGCTAGAGAAGGTGATACTAATTCTAGATTTTATCATAGAGTTGCATCGGGGAAGCGGAAGAAGAGTTTTATTAAAAATTTGGAAGTGGCTCCAGGTGAAGTGGTGTGTAAGGAGGAGCTTATTGTCAAGGAAATTTTTAATTTTTATTCAAATCTATATTCTGATGGGGGTGTGGATCGTCTAGGGATTAAAGGCATTAATTGGGTTCCAGTGGATTTAGCGATTGCTAGTTGGCTGGAAAGACCTTTTGACGAAGATGAGGTGAGACAAGCTGTATTTGAGTGCGATAGAGATAAGGCTCCAGGCCCAGATGGCTTTTCAATGGCAGTTTTTCAGGATTGTTGGGAAATTGTAAAAAGGGATTTCATGAGGGTATTTTCTGAGTTTTTTGAGAGCGGGCAGGTTAATTTGTGCACCAATGCATCCTTTATTTGTCTAATTCCCAAAAAGGAGAAATCGATCAAGATTGGGGATTTTAGACCCAATCACATCTCTTTATAAGATTTTAGCTAAAGTGCTTTCTAGGAGAATTAGAGTTGTCATGGGGGAAGCTATTTCTTTGGCACAAGGTGCGTTCGTGCAGGGTCGGCAGATTTTGGATGTAGTCTTAGTGGCTAACGAGGTTGTGGAGGAGTATAGGGGTCTACGTAAGGAGGGTATTGTCTTTAAGTTAGATTTTGAGAAGGCAGATAACCATGTTGATTGGGGCTTTGTGGATTTTGTTTTGGAAAGGAAGGAGTTTGGAGTTAGATGGAGGAAGTGGATTTGGGGGTCCTTGTCGTCATGCAATATGGCAATCATTGTGAATGGCAAGGCGGGGGATTTTTTTCCAAGCATCCAGGGGTCTTAGACAGGGTGATCCTTTATCACCATTTTTGTTTATTTTAGTTGCTGATGTGTTGGGTAGGATTATTGATTTAGCTAAGGATAAGGGTGTCATTGAGGGGTTTGTGGTGGGAAGGGATAGGATATGTGTTACTCATTTACAATTTGTGGATGATACTATTTTATTCTTATCTAAGGAGGAAAGTAAGGCGGGGAGTTTACTAAAGATTTTGAGAATTTTTGAAATTGTGTCGGGCCTCAAGGTCAATCTTAGCAAAAGCTGTGTTGTGGGTATTAATTTGGACGATAGTCATGTGCATAGGGTGGCGGCTATGTTGGGATGTCCAATTGATTTCTTTCCTCTCAAATATCTGGGGCTTCCGTTGGGAGGAGATCCTAGATTGGTGTCTTTTTGGGAACCTGTTTTTGCCAAAATTAGGAAAAGATTGGAGGGTTGGAAGCGAGCTTTGTTGTCTAAGGGCGGGAGGTATACGTTGGTACAATCTGTTTTAGGATCTGTTCCTATTTATTTCCTGTCCCTTTTCAAAATCCCGGTTAACATTGCAAGAAAGATTGAGAAATTGATGAGGGATTTTCTCTGGGAAAGGTGTGAGGAGGGTAAAGGAATTCATTTGGATAGGTGGGAGACTGTTCCTCTTTCTAGGGCAAAATGTGGCTTGGCTATTGGAAACATTGTTACTAGGAATATTGCTTTCTTGGGCAAGTGGTTGTGGAGATTCCCTCTTGAAAGTGAGTCGTTGTGGTGTTTAGTTATTAAAAGCAAGTATGGTGTTCAATCCAATGGTAGGGATTCTAATGTGGTTAATAGAGGCAATTGTCGTTCACCGTAGAAATTCATTTCTCGTTTGTATTGTCTTGTGTCTAATTTCTTTTCATTCAGAGTGGGGAATGGGGAGAACGTTCGGTTTTGGGAGGATGTTTGGTTAGGGGATATTTTGTTTTCTAGATCTTATCCCCTTCTTTATAGGTTGGTTCGTTCTCCAAATGTGTCTATTGCGTCAGTCGCTTGCTCGTCTATGGCACCCATCTCCTGGAATTTTGATCTCATTAGACACTTGAATGATAGAGAGGCGAGGGAGTTGGCATCTTTGTTGGTAGTGCTTGAGGGGGTTTCTCTTTCTTCGTCTTCTGATAATAGGGTGTGGAATCTTGTCTCTTCAGGGGTCTTTTCATGCAAATAATTTTTTGATAAGATTATTGATAATCCCTTGGTTCCTTTGTTCCCTTTTCATAAGAAAATTTGGAAAGCGGGTGTCCCTCATAAAGTGAAGTTTTTCTTGTGGTCTTTGGCTCAAAAGGGTGTTACAACTAATGATGTTCTCCAGAGGAGAATGCCTAATCACTCTCTTTGCCCTCAATGGTGTGTGATGTGCAAGAGAAATTTGGAGGATGTGGATCATCTTTTTCTTCATTGCCCGGTGGCTTCTGTATTATGGCAGCGTCTTTTCAGGTTATGTGATGTGCAGTGGGTTGCTCCGCGGGAGTGTATGCATATGATTCTTATTCGGTTTGAAGGGTTTGGGAGTTCCAAGAAAAGCCAATTCAATGTGGATAGGCATTGTGTTTGCTATTTTCTGGGTTATATGGTTGGAGAGAAACCTTCGAATTTTTGAAGGCAAGGAAGTAAGTGTAGAGGCGTTGTGGGATAGGGTGGAATATTTGGCCTCATTTTGGGCATTTGTATCTCCTCTTGTTAAAGGAGTCCCTTTGTTTTTGATCTCTAGGGATTGGGCTGCTGTTTGCCATCCTTAGGGTTTCGAGTTTTGTGATTTTGTTTTGTTTTGTTTTGTTTTTTTTTTCTTCTTTTCTCTGTATGAGAACTTCTTGTCCTCTTTCTATTTCACGTTTTAATAAAATTTTGTTGTTTCTCAACAAAAAAAAAAGAACAAGAATTGTGCTGGTTGAATGGAAGTGAAGTGTTGAAGTGATCTATAGTTGCATTATTAATTTATTATTTGCTGTTGTTGCTGTCTTCTTGTTTCACTGATTGTTCTACGATACATTCAAGTAAATTCAGCTTTCCTTTAGCCAACAATTTTTGTAGCTCTCACATCCTCATACTAGTAAAGGCATCTTGAGTGCAGGGTGTATCTTCATGGTGAACTCTAATTGTTAACCAAGAAGGGAAAAGAAAAACCGTAGGTAGCGGAGCAGTATAAGAACTAGCTAATATGTGTGTAACATACTCCTATGTTGCACAACAAGACAACATTTTTATTTTTCAATGTTGATTTCGAAATTAGCTCTTTTTGAAGAGGTGCTCGAGGAACTCTTGAGTATTTCAATTTCTACAGACCCACTGTTCTGAAGGATTGATCAGTTGCTCCATGGCACAATCCAAATCCAAATGTGAATAATGTGAGCACAATATGCTATATGTTATGTTTCTCTTCTTTATTTCTATTTGTTGCGATTGAGGTAGGAAGCAATATCTCTTCTGAAGAAGAGAACACAGTTAATAAATCATAAATGAATTTAAATTTAAAGCAGCAAAATTTGTGAGGTGTCAAAGCTGCTGAAAGAAGAGGAGCACTCCATGCCCAACCTATTAGTCTTAGGGTTAGGTTTACTATATAATTAGATGTATTCTTTGTATTAGTACACGATGGAATATACAAAAATTCTTCAAAAATCTTACATGGTATCAGAGCTTGGTTTAACACCCTAGTAGCCATCATGAAACTCTCTCCGGTTTTGGTGTCAGGATCAATCGAGGTCTCTGGTTCTTAGTAGCAGGAATCATCTCAGATGGTGACGACTCTGAGGAAGAAGCGTGATTTTGTGCTTCTGAGGAAGAAGCGTGATTTTGTGCTTCTGAGGAAGAATCGCAGCAGAATCGCGAATCTGAGGAGACGGAAACGCGAATTTGATGCGAGAAGGAAGCACTCTTGAGAGGGCAAGGAGAGAACCTGGTCGCTGGCTTCGATCCTCTATTTGATGACTTTCTCGCGCCCTTTGACTTTCCCTTCGAAGCCCTAGTCTTCGATTGTCTTCGTCCCTCTCTTCTCTCACTGTTGATCTCTGTTTGCTTCTCTGTCTCGATCTATTCTCTGTTCTCTCTCTCTCTCCCTCCCTCTTTGTTTTCATATTTGTTTCATATAATATAATCTATCATATATAGGTTTCGTTTGGGAAGTGGGTCGGCTTTTTGACTTTTTGGTTTTTTTGGTTATTTTAGCCTGAGCTAAAAAACTTGGTTTGGGAAGGATTTTTTGGCTTTTTGACTTTTTTGACTTTTTTTTGTGACAGAATAGTGTAATTATTATGGGTTAGATGTGATGTTTTGTATGTTGTGGCTAAAATAGCTTATTTTGTCTTTTATGGCTAAAATAGCCAAAAAAGCCCATAAACCAACTTGCCAAACGGATATAATTTATCATAAACAATATAATTTTTATGTCTAAAATAAAAAATTATTTATTTTATCATATGTAATATAATTTTTATTTGTTATTTTTTTAACAAAATTTATTATTTCTTAACTTTTTAACATATAATAAATAAAATAAATAATCTAATTGTTTAAAAGAAATCTATTTAAATCATATATAATAAAAAAAATCTTAAAAAATTTATAAAATAAAACATCAAATTTTTATTTATTATTTATTTTAACATAATTTATTATTCCTTATTTATTATAATAAATAAAATATAATTAATAAAAATAATACATAAGTGCTCCTAATCTACGACTCCTCTAAGTGGCCATGTTCTTTCGCTCCCGCTTCGTGCAACTAAGCGCTGGTTCTTTGCTTCATTGGGTTTGTTTTCTGGTTCAAGAAGACCCAGATTACAACCTAGCTGGTTCTTCTTTTTTTCATCTGATTCGAAGTTGGTTCAAAGCTCTTTGGACAAATTTCGCAATCCTTCAGCTTTGTGACCTCTTCTCTCTCTTGTTTACCTTGCAATTGGTCCTAGTCATCTCTGGTTTGTTATTTCTCTCTGGTTGTTCATAGGTCATCGGAGACCTGTTCTTTGCCAGAATCACGATCATGAGTTCGTGATTGTTCTCTCTCCAGCATCGCGAACTCTCTTCCTCTCTCTAGTTTGAAGTCGACCCGTCAAGTTCTTTGCTGCATTGACTTCAAAACCTGTTGATCCATCTGGTGGAATTTCTGGTTCGTCGAAAGATTGCGCCTCTTTCTCTGGTTGGGACTTTTGATCGCAACCTTTTGGTTCGTAATTGCTACATCTGGTTCTGAAGTTGAGATAACCTGGTTCTAAAATTTGATTCAATTCTCTTTTATTCTTGCTTGGACCATACAAGTTTTTGATTCTTACAATTTGACCCCTCAATATTTTTTTGTTGGTTATTACACCTGAACCCCTGGTTTGGTTATTTTGTTTTATTTTGGGTTTATTACACTTAAACCCCTTAGTTTTTTGGTTATTATGATGTCTCTGGCTTCTGATGAGTGTACCTTCTGCCATTAGAGGGGCCATTGGAAGTACCACTATCCTAAGAAGGGACGTATGCCTGCCTTGTCTTTTTCGCAATCTCAGAACCAATTTCGAGTTCCTCTCGCTGCTTATATTGTATCTGCTCTGACTCTTGATTCCGATTTGGTTTCTTTGAGTGCTTAAATTAGTTAGCTTCTGCATATATTGTCTACCTCCCAACCATCCCCATCTACCTCCATTGTTTTCTCTCTTCATTTAGATTTGTTTGGGTCTTCTTCAGATATCTCTTCGTCTGTCTGGATTTTTGACTCTGGTGCCTCTCATCATATGACTCTCCATCGCTCCTTACTTCAAAATTGTACTCCCTCTTCCTTTTCTATTACTGTTAATGATGCTAATGGGTCTGGTATGTCTGTTATAGCTGTTGGGTCTGTCTTACCGTCTGCTATGTCTGCTGTTTTTATTCTATCTATCCTTTATGTTCCTCAGTTATCTGTCAGTTTATTATCTATCAGTCAGCTTGATACCTCTGGTTTTGATGTTATTTTTTCTTCTTCTATCTTGTGCAAGATTGGATGTCCAAGCAGCAAATTGGGACTGGTCGCAGAGGTGAAGGCCTCTATGTGGTGGAGAGCCTACATCTGCCCATGACTACCTTTCCAACTACCTTTTCCTCTTTTCAGTTGGATTCTTTGTCAAGTCTTTCTACATGTGGCATTTTAGATTAGGGTATTTGTTTGTTGACCACTTACGGCCTTTAGCTCAGTCAGGTATATTAGGTAAAATTTTTCCTAATCAACTTATCGAGTGTCGGGGGTGTAAACTTACCAAAATGACAGCTTTACCTTTTCGTAAAAGTACCTCTATATCTGATACACCATTTTCTTTAGTTCATACTGATGTCTAGGGTCCTCCTGTTCTCACTAAAGGAGGTTCTGCATAATATGTTTCATTTGTTGATGACTGCACCCGTTATACTTGGGTTTATCTTATGACTCATAAGTCTGACTTTTACTAGATATACTGTACTTTTCAGTCTATGGTCACTACACATTTTGGGTCTACTATTAAATTGTTGCGGTCTGACTTGGGTGGGGAATACCTTAAAATTGAGTTCTGTGAATATTTGGCCAATTTGGGTACCATTCACTAAACTTCCTGTATTGACACCTGTCCAAAATGGTCAATCTAAGCATAAATACTGTCATTTCCTTGAGACAGCTAGATCTCTTCTCTCTGCCTCCGTTTCGGCTCCGTTTTGGGGTAAGGCAGTTCTTACTGCTGTTTTTCTTCTCAACCGTATGCCTACTCCCCTTCTTTCTGGTCAGTTTCCTTATGAGACTCAGTTTTCTCAATTTCTTAATTATTCCCTCTTTCGTGTGTTTGGGTTTGTTTGTTTTGTCTTTTTACCTCGTAAAGATAGGACCAAACTTAGTGCCCGATTTGTCCTATGTGTCTTTTTAGGTTATAGTCTTTACTTAGAAAGGTTGTCGTTGTTATGACCCTGTTTCCTGTTGCTTTGATGTCCCCAGCCATGTTGCCTTCCTCAAACATCTACCTTACTTTTAGCTTCCTCCTCTCGCAGCACTAGTTTCCAAAGAGGATTTGGTTCATATTGATCCATTTCCTTTTGAGGTCCTTCATGATGAGTACATCTCTATTGTTCCCTCTGAGCTTATTCCCTTTTCTCCTTGTACCACCCCTCCTAATGAGTCCCTCTTTACGGACTCCCATGAGTCTATTCCCTCCTGCTCCACTCCTGCTGTTGCTCCTACTCCTGCTCTTGCTCCTTCTCCTCCTCTTCATTCTCCTTCTCTGGTGTTAGTCTATTCTCGTCGCAAGGCTCTTCCTCCACTAGTTGTCTCTGCCCCTGCTGCTGATCCTCCTGCTTCTGACGACTTTGATCTTGCTAACTGTAAGTATCCCTTCGCATCCATAAACAGGTAGTCAAACTTGATTTTGCTAAAACATGTTTTTCTCCTTCATATTGTACGCTTTTGCCAGCTATTTACTCCTTTTCAGAACCTCAGTCTTATAAGGAGGCCTGTCAGGATCCTCATTGGATTCAAGCTATGAAGGATGAGTTTTCTGCTTTGTAGAAAACCAGTACTTGGGAGTTGGTTCCTTTTCCTGCTGGTAAGAATCTAGTTGGTTGCAAATGAGTCTACAAAGTCAAGACTCATTCTAATGGTTATCTTGAGCATTACAAGGCTTGCCTGGTTGCCTTGGGTTTTTCACAGGAGTAGTATTGATTATGAGGAGACCTTTGCCTCTGTTGCCAAGATGACTATTGTTCGTATTTTGATATCTATCGCCGCTGTTCGTCATTGGCCTCTTTATTAGATGGATGTTAAGAATGCTTTTCTTAATGGTCATCTCGTTGAGGAGGTTTACATACGTTCTCCCCCTAGCCTTCCCCATTCCTTTGGACAGGTTTGTCGTCTTTGGCATGCTCTGTATGGTCTGAGGCAATCTCCTCGTGCTTGATATGATCGCTTTCAGACTGCTGTTACTAAACTTGTGTTTCATCCTTTGGCCCAGGACTTTGCTTTGTTTCTCTTCTACACCTTTGCTGGTTTTGTTGCCTTATTATTGTGTCTGGATAATATGATTGTTACTGGTTCTGATTCTTCTGCTATCTCTGAGGTTAAGTAGCATCTCATCCGCACCTTCAAAATGAAGGATTTGGGCCCCTTGCGTTAGTTTCTTGATATTGAGGTAGTTTCTTCTCCCAATAGTTACTTTCTGTCTTAGGCCAAGTATGTTATTGAAATTATTGATCGTGTTGGTCTTACTGATACTAAGATTGCTTATACCCCCATTGAGCTTAATGTGAAACTTAGGAGGTGTTTGGCAAATGTTTTTTTTTTGGCTTTTTGGGCTAAAATCCACAAAAGACAAAATAGGCTAAAATAGCCAATTAGACAAAATGTTACATCAAACACATAATCATTTCACTTTTTCTCTCACAAACATCACAGCCAACTACAAAAAAATCTATCTTCCCAAACATAAAAATTTTAGCCTACTAAAATAGCCAAAAACTAAAATAGTCTATTAAAATAGCAACTTCCCAAACATCTACTTAATACTACTGATGGTGTTCCTCTGCCTGATCCTACTTTATATTGGAAGCTCGTAGGTTACTTAGTCTATCTGACGGTTACTCGTCCTGATCTTACCTATGTTGTTCATGTGATTAGTTAGTTCGTTTCTGTTCCTCGTTCTACACATTGGGCTGCTTTGGTTTGGATTCTTTGTTATCTTCGCGGTACTATCTTCCAAGGATTGCTATTGTCCTCTACTTCTTCCTTGGCTTTAATTGCCTATGCTAATGCTGATTGGGCTGGTGATGTTACAGATCGTAAGTCTACTTCTGATTTTTGTATGTTTCTTGGTGACTCCTTGATTTCTTGGAAAAACAAGAAACAAACTGTTGTTATTTGCTCTACTGCCGAAGCTGAGTACTGTGCTATGACTCATGCTACTGCTGAAATTGCCTAGCTTCGTTGTCTTCTTTATGACTTGGGCATCCCTCAGTCTTCTCCAACCTTCTTCTATTGTGATAACCGTAGTGCTATTCAGATTGCCCATACATTGTCTTCCATGAGCGAACAAAGCACATTGAGATTGATTGTCACTTTGTCCGTCAGCTTCTGCAGTCTGGCTCTATCTCGCTTCTTTTCGTCTCTTCAGCTTTGCAACTTGCTAACTTTTTTACCAAGACTCGCACCACTGCTTGGTTTCAGTGTCTCCTTGGCAAACTCTCAGTGTTTTTTGCTACAACACCTTGAGTTTGAGCGGGGGTGTGAGAATATTAGGTTAGGTTTATATATATGGTAATGTTTCTTTTTCTGAGAGATTGTATAGTGCTGGAAATTTGTGTTAATGTATATAATAAGATAGTGGCATATGATAGTGGTGTTGGTGGTAGATAGTGGCATGTATATAATATGATAGTGGTGTTGGTGGTAGATAGTGGCATGTATATAATATGATAGTGGTAGATAGTGGTAATATATAATATGTAAGTGGCATATAATGGGTTATAATGATGTTTGTAATATCTCCTATATAAGGAGTGTCATTTGGTCTTGTAAGATAAGAAGTTTTGAATATAACAGAAATATATTCCTTCTTCCTCATATTTTTCGGAGTTCTTTCCTCATATTTTCGGAGTTCTTCTTCCTCATATTTTCTAAGTTATAGGTGTATATATATGGCAGTGTTTCCTTTTTAGTCTTAGGGTTAGGTTCACTGTATAATCAGATGTATTCTTTGTATTAGTACACAATGGAATATATAGAAATTATTTAGAAATCTTACAACCCTCTCCAAAATTATGACTAATTAATGGTCAGATGCTGGATATTCTCACCATGTCTGTTAAATATCCTTATATTATGGCCTTGTTTGGATAGAGAAGAACTTTTGAACGCAATGTCTTTCTTTAAAACATTGTTTTTTCTTCCTCTGCCTTTCTGTAGTTGCTTTGGCATGAGCTGCATTTCTTAGATTAAAAATGATTATTTTTTCCCTTTGTTTTCAGAATTCTTAAGATGATGCAAACCGTGGCTTCTCACAAGACTGAGAATCGAATGAGTTCTTCAGCTGTGGCAGCTTGCATGGCACCCTTACTTCTTCGTCCCCTTCTATCTGGTGATTGTGAACTTGAAAATGACTTTGATGTGGGTGGTGATGGTTCTATGCAACTTCTGCAAGCAGCTGCGGCAGCTAATCATGCTCAAGCCATTGTTATAACTCTATTAGAAGAGTATGAGGACATATTTGGGGTATGCTTTAATTACTGTCAAAACCTTTTGATATGTAAATGTATTTTAGAGCCTGGATATAAAAATATTTATGTATAAAGCTTCATTTCTATTCACATAATTTTTTCTCTTATTTCTTAATTTTTTGATAAGAGCATTTGTATTTACATACTGCAGTAGGTTTTGCTGTAAGATCATTGAAGTTCATTAGATGTCCAAATAATATCCCTCTAGGTAACTGCAACCTCCCTAAGAAAAATAATGCAAAAATAAACTGCAACCCTTGAGGTAGTCAAAGCATTTTTCTTCTTTATTTTTTATTTTTTTTTGCCAAATCTATCGTTGCCGAGTGGTAAAATGTTGGCTTGTGATCTTGAAAAGAGGGACTTGGTTATGAGTTCAAATCTTGTTGTGGATAAAAAACAAAAAGGTAAAGGAATTTTTTTTTTCTTCATATTAGTTGTGTATATTGAAAAAAGAGTAAAAAGTCTGCCACTTGTAAGATTCTCACGGTGACCACATCTCAGTCCACCATGCTGTTGCATAGGGCTGTACATGGGTCGGATCGGATTCATGAACCAACCGTCACCCTAACCGACAATCTTGGGTTGGAGAACTTGCCAACAAATTTCGACCCAACAATAGTTTGAAACCCGATCACATCGGGTATAGAAAAATCGGTTTGGACTTCGGTTGGTATTGCACCAAACTTCAATTGTCTTCGTAAATACGACAAATTACTACTAGAGAAGGGAGATCAGAGGGGAAGGGGACTGTGGCGTTTTGGGAAAGGGAATTGAGGGGAAAAGGGTGAGAGAAGGGAGATCAAAGAGGAAATGAGGGGTGTTACAGATGGAAATAAGGGTTTGGGGGTAGGAAGTGTGCGTTTTTGAAGAAGTTGTATATTCAACTATCGAACAATACAAGGTGTACATCTAATATATATAGCAATTCTAGGCCTAATCCTAAATAGGAAATAAGAATAATTGTAAGAACAAAATATTCACACAATCATAATCTAACACAATCTAAAATATTCACATAATATTCTTACACAATCTAAAAGATTCACACAATATTCTCATACCCCTGCTCAAACTTAAGGTGTTTGAGCAGAAAACATTGAGAGTTTACCAAGAAGAATTTGAAACCGAGCAGTGGTGTGAGTCTTGGTAAAGAAATCAACAAGTTACAAAGCCGAAGAGATGAAAAGAAGTGAGATAGAGCCAGACTGGACAAAGTGACAATCAATCTCAATGTGCTTTGTCTGCTTATGGAAGACAATGTTTTGGGTAATCTGAATAGTACTGCGGTTGTCACAATAGAGAGAGGTCAGGGAAGACTGAGGGATATCCAAATTAGACAAGAGACAACGAAGTCAAACAATCTTAATAGTGGCATGGGCTATAGCACGGTACTTAGTTTCGGCAGTGGAACGAACAACAAAGGTATGTTTCTTACTCTTCCAAGAAAAAACCAAGGAATCATGAAGAAACATACCGAAGTCAGAAGTGGACTTGCGATCAATGATATCACTAGCCCAATCAAAATCAGCATAGGCTACGAAGTCTAAGGAAGAAGTAGAAGACAACAATAAGCCTTGAAAGATAGTACCTCGAAGATAGCTAAGAATCAAACCAAAACAGTCTAATTAGTAGAGCGAGGAGCAGAAATGAATTGGCTAACCGCATGAACAACATAAGCAAAATCAAGGTGAGTAACCGTCAGATAGACTAAACAACCCATGAGCTCTCAATATAGAGTAGGATTATCTAAAGGGACGCCATCAGTAGTGTTGAGCTTCACATTAAGACCGACACCACTGCTCGAGACAATCTTAGTGTCAATAAGACCGGCACGGTGAATAACCTCATTGGCATACTTAGCTTCATACAGAAAGTAGCCTTTAGGAGAAGAAGCTATTTCAATACTAACAAAATATCATAATGGGCCCAGATCTTTCATTTCAAAGGTGCGTAAGAGATATTGCTTGACCTCAGAGATAGTAGAATAGTTAGAGCCAGTGATGATCATATCATCCACATACAATAATAGGGTAACAAAACCAACAGAGGTGTGGAGGAGAAACAAAGCTAAGTCAGCCCAAGCTCAGTGATAGCTGTTTGAAAGCGATCGTACCAAATACAAGGAGATTGCTTTAAACCATACAGAGTACGTTGAAGATGACAAACCTGTCCAGAGGAATGAGGAAGGCCAGGAAAAGGATGCATGTAAACCTCTTCAGTGAGATAGCCATTAAGAAAAGTATTCTTAACATCCATCTGATAAAGAGGCCAATGAAGAACAATAGTCATCTTGGCAATAGTGGCAAATGTCTCTTTATAATCAATACCATATTTTTGTGAGAAACCTTTGGCAACCAGGCGAGCTTTGTAGTGCTTGAGAGAACTATCAGAATGAGTTTTGACTTTATAAATCCATTTGCAACTAACCAAATTCTTACCAGCAGGCAAAGGAACCAGTTCCCAAGTAGTAGTCTTTTGCAAGGCAAACAACTCATCCTCCACAGCTTGAATCCAATTAGGATCTTGATAGGCCTCTTTGTAAGACTAGGATTTTGAAAAAGAGTGAATAGTAGACAAAAATGTGCTTTATGAAGGAGAAAAACATATTTTAGCAAAATCAAGTTTGACTACCTGTTTACGGATACGAAGGGGATACTACGGTTGGCAAGATCAGAGTCGTCAGAGGCAAGAGGATTGGCAGCAGGAGCAAAGACAACCGGTGGAGGGAGGGCCTTGTGACGAGAATAGACTAACAACGGAGAAGGAGACGGTGGGGGAGGAGAAGAAGGAGAAGAAAACGGAACAGACTCAGTAGAGAGGGACTCAACAGGAGGGGTGGTAGAAGGAACAAGTTTATGGAAGACAATAGAGATATAGTCATCTGGAGGGACTTCAAAAGGAAATGGATCAATGTGAACCAAATCCTCTTTGAAAACCGGAGCAATGATAGGAGGAAGTTGAACATAAGATAGACGTTTGAGAAAAGCAACATGGCGGGAGACATAAAGGCGATGAGAAACAGGGTTATAACATTGATAGCCTTTTTGGGTAAGACTGTGGCCTAAAAAGACATATGGAACAGATCTGGCACTAAGTTTGGTCCTATCTTTACGAGAAAGAAGGACTAAATAAGTAGACCCAAATACATGCAGGAGGGAGTAATTGGGAAGTTGGGAGAACAAAACCTCATAAGGAGAATGACCAAAGAGTAGGGGAGTAGGCATACGTTTTAGAAGAACAACAGCAGTAAAAACTACTTTATCCCAAAAAGGAGCCGAAACAGAGGTAGAGAGGAAAGACCTAGCTGTCTCAAGGAGATGACGGTGTTTACGCTCAGCGTGACTATTTTGAACGGGTGTATCAGTATAGGATGTTTGGTGAATAGTACTCAAATTGGCCAAATACTCACAGAACTCAGTTTTAAAATATTCCCCACTCAAGTCAAATTGTAACAATTTAATGGTAGACCCAAACTGTGTAGTGATTATAGACTGAAAGGTACAATATATTTGGTAGAAGTCAGATTTATGAGTTACAAGATAAGCCCAAGTATAGCGGGTGCAATTATTAACAAAAGACACGTAGTATGCAGAACTTCCTTTAGTGAGAACATGAAAGGGTCCCTAGACATCAGTATACACAAGAGAAAATGGAGAAATAGAAATAGAAGTATTTTTATTAAATGGTAAAGCTGGCATTTTGGCAAGTTTACACTCCCAACATTCATCAATTTAACTAGAAGAAACTTTACCCAATAATCTAGACATGGCTAAAAATCGTAAATGGTCAACAGACAAATGACATAGGCGAGAATGCCATAAATAAAACTGACTCGATTGAGAATCTAACTGAAATAAGTATAGTGCAACTGGAGAGGTGGATAGAGGAATATGCAAGCTTTCTACCACATAGAGATCTCTAGCTCTACGGCTGGCTCCAATATGCTTCTTGGACACTGAATCCTGCACACAACAGACAGAAGAGGAAAATATATAACATTAAAACCAGAAGCATCAAGTTGACCGATAAATAATAAATTGACAGACAGTTGAGGAACATAAAGAACAGAGGGATAGTAACAGCAGACATGGCAGAGGGTAGGGATGTAAGAACAATCCAAAAAATCGACTAAATCGATTGAACTGGACTAAACCGGCTATATTTGGTTTGTTTTTTAACAAGAATCGGTCTGTGTGGTTTTTAAGTTTGACCTTTTTTTTGGTTTTCGATTCGGTATTGGTTCAAGCACCTTGTGCACTGAACTAAACCTAAACCGAAACCGACCGCTTCAACATATATTGTATTTATAATATATATAATCTAATAACATAATGATATTAATAAGTATAATAAATTATTAACCTTAATTAATTAACCTTATCATCTTTATAACCTAAATTTATAAACTCTTATTATATATAATCGTAACTCTAACCCATTATTCTTGAAACCTTAGTATTTTTAACTTTTTTTTGTTTTTATTTTTGTTAATTTAGGACTTAAAAAGTATTTATTGAAAGGATGGATTGGATATGTTTGAAATGGTGGACAAATAGTAATTTAATGTTTTTATATAGATTAGTCATTATATTTAAAAGTGGCTTAAGTTTGAAAGGTCTTACCAATTGAACTACATCGGACCGAACCAAACCGAACCGTACCGTTTTAATCGGTTTGGTTCGGTGTGGTTTGATGGCAGAAGTAGTATGTATCGGTCTTCAAAATAATAAAACTGACATTATCAGTTTGGTGAAATATTTTACCTATATACCGACCGTACCGTACCGAACCGAACCAATTACATCCCTAGTAGAGAGTAAGATAGATCCAATAGATAAAACATGCATACCAGACCCATTACTAGTATTAATAGTGATAGAAGAGGGATGGGGGTTACAATTTTCCAGTAAGGAAAGGTGAGGAGTCATATGATGAGAGGCATCGGAGTAAAAAAACCACCCAAGCAAATTTGAATGAAGAAAGGTGAGAGTGGAGGCAGATGGGGATGGCTAGGAAGTGGACAAGAGATGTTGAAGCTGAGCAATCTGGGCGCTCAAGGAAGCTAGGTCAAGATTTGGAGCCGGAATAGATGCAGTATAAGCGGCAGGATGCCAAGAATTATTTTAAGTAGGAGCTTGGAACTGTGACTGAGACTACTGAAAAAACTCACATTCCTTATTGGGATAGTTGCACTTCTAATGACCTCTCTGGTGGTAGAAAGCACACTTATCTGAAGCCAGGGGTGCCTTCTTAGGCTTTGTAGTGGCTTGAAGTTGATGAGGAGGTGGGATCGATAGTAGTGGAGGTTGGGCAGGAGCTAGGAAGACAGATGGAGACAGAGTTTGACTGGCCATCTTAAGACGGGTTTCCTCGGAGAGGAGCTCACGAACAATAACATCCATAGAGGGAAGAGGAGATCGGTGAAGGATGTCACCACAGATAGCCTCATACTAAGGGGAGAGAGTTGTTAAGAACTGCACTAAACAACCTTGCTCCCAAAACTCAACATAAGCGTTTAGTATCTTGAGAATAGGCAGGTCCATGAGAGCCAATTGATCCCAGAGACCTGTCATTTCAATAAAGAAATCCTAAATAGTCTGATACCGTTGGCAAGCACTTTGAATAGTTGTTTCCAACTCATACCGCTTGGCAAAGTTGGACTGTTGATAAACACTCGGTAAATAATTCCACCCTTCCTTGGCTGTACTGTATTTGGAAAATATCATTCTAATTCGGCCATCCACAGAATTATGAAACCAGGTCAGAACTTGGGCATTGTCATAATCCCAAGTGTTCACAGGAAGTCAGATAGTCTTCCTTTTTCGGGTCCGATGACGAGTAACAGATCCAAAACCTAGCCCTATTTTTTTTGACCAAGAAGAAAATTCTTCATAACATTGGCCCAAGATTGTATCAATATATCAATACACGAACCAGAGAAGTCAAAATCTTAGAGAGAGAGAGAGAGAGAGCTTGATTACGACCTAGAAGAAATCGAGGATCAGATATGTCGAAGCCCTGAGGTGGACCAGCGAACAAATGGGTTGTGATTTTGGGTTGATCACCAACTAAAGAATGGGTTGCGACGCAGAGGTTGGTGTTGCGATGTTCAAAGCTTTAGAGATTCAAACAAGGGGCTTGGGTGACTCCCGAAACTAGGGTTTTGACTGAGAATAGACCAGATGAAGGTTGTCGATGTTCAATGGTGAGTTGCGAACTAGAAGGGTGGTCGATGGTGAGTTGTCGCGACTAGAGACTGAGTCGTTGCGACTAGAGACAGATGGAGAAAGGCCTTGCGAACTTGATTGTGAGCAGGACCTCGCGATGATGAACCAAAATTAGAGAGAGAGCAATGACGAGAGGCAAATTTCAACTTAGGGTTTAGACAATGATGATAGGCTCTGATACCATGTAAGTTTTTGAAGTTGTATATTCAATTGTCAAACAATACAAAGTGTACATCTAATATATATAGCAATTCTAGGCCTAATCCTAAATAGGAAATAAGAATAATCCTAAGAACAAAATATTCACACAATCACAATCTAACACAATTTAAAATATTCACATAATATTCTCACACAATCTAAAAGATTCAATATTCCCACATGTAAGTTTCTGAAGAAGTTGTATATTCAATTGTCAAACAATACAAAGTGTACATCTAATATATATAGCAATTCTAGGCGTAATCCTAAATAGGAAATAAGAATAATCCTATGAACAAAATATTCACACAATCACAATCTAACACAATTTAAAATATTCACATAATATTCTCACACAATCTAAAAGATTCAATATTCCCACATGTAAGTTTCTGAAGAAGTTGTATATTCAATTGTCAAACAATACAAAGTGTACGTCTAATATATACAGCAATTCTAGGCCTAATCCTAAATAGGAAATAAGAATAATCCTAAGAACAAAATATTCTCACAATCACAATCTAAAATATTCACATAATATTCTCACATAATCTAAAAGATTCACACAATATTCTCACAGGAAGATTAAAGATCATGATCTCACCGTCAACTTCAAGATCACAATTTCACTGCCACCGTCATCGGATCACGATCTCAAAGCAACATCTCTGCTAATATCTTAGCCTCACCGCCACTTGAATCCTCTCATGGCTCCAGCCACCGTGAGACGGAGAGAAATTGAGAGAGAGGAGAAAAGGGTGAGAGTGATTTTGGTGAGATAGAGAGAAGAGAGACAGGAGTATTGAGAAGAGAGAGAGAGTAGTATTGGGTGAAGAGAACTTCATAATTGATGAGAGAGAAAGAAACAGAGTAGTAAATGAGAGACAGATGAGACAGAAAAGTCTGTCAATCTTCTATATTGATAATAGCAAAGCTCTTTGCACAAGAAAAAAAGAAAAAAAAGAAAAAGACAAGCCATTCTTCTCTTAGATCTAGAGAGATAATCATTAATATTTGAAATAGGATAGCTGTATACAAGTGATAAGGTAACTCCTTTAGCTAATAAAAACGCTCCACGTGTAAAAGATTTTAGAAAATAAATAATTCGGTCGGTTTTTTGTCGGATGTAATATTTTAATACCGACGACCGAACTGACTTTTTCATTTTTTTTGTGGAGAATCACCCGCCACTGACTGTGACATCAGGTGAAATTGCCCGTTGGTTATCAGGCCGGTTTGGTTCGGATGGTTTGGGCGGGTCGGTAACTTATATGAACAGCCCTACTGTTGCATAAGGGAGGCCTAAAAGATGGGTTAAGACTAGAAAATATATTATTAACAAGGATTCGTCAAAGGAGAATATTAAGAGTTCTTTTGGTTGAGTTGAATTTTGCAATCCTCAGAATACATATTGAATTGATAATCAAAAGTGTGGTAAAGGCTCCAGCCTTAGCAAGCTCATTTTTAGGTACGTGTTACCTAAATAACCTTAATCTCAATTACTTGGAGTCAGATATGTATCTTGTCTAGTTGGCTCTAAATATACCTTAAATTTTAAGTCATATCCTTGGTCATAGAAATCCTCAGCTAATATTCTTTTTGGCCATCCTCTTGACCTTCCGCACTTTCAAATTGGATGAAGTCACTCCTCAGTGGTGATATTGTACAGATTGTAAAAAATTGTCAAAGATGGACAAATATTAGTAGTATATTACCCTCTGTTATCTTATGCCATAGGGTTGTGTAAAATCTTGTTAGAATTCCAGTTTAATTTATTTATACTTCTTTTTGCCTTTTAGGTTCGATGTGAAGTAACTATAGATTTTTTGTGGGACAGATTTTTTTTCCCAATTTTTTCTCTTCCTTTTATAATTTTTTTCTATCTGATTAATTAGTAAAAATTTTGCAGGAAGGTTCCTTGTCCTCTGAACTATACTCCGAGTCAGAAGACAGTGAAAGTGATAGTGAGGAGTTAACTGATGATGATGGAGATGGAACAGAGGGCTCTGATTCGGACATAGATGAAGATTCTGAACATGCATCAGATGAAACTAACAGCGAGACTGGAAAAATTCAGGATAATGTTCTTGATGATGATAAGGCTAGTTCTTGCACTTCTTAACTTTAGCGCGCACACACACACAAACTATGATGGTAGTAAAATCTGAACAATACCTCAATATTCCCCATGCCAGCCTCATTATCTGATCAGCATGCAATTCACATACTAAATATGCTGTTGCTATATTTTTTAATTTCTTCTTCTTATTTTTTTTGTTTTTCTTGTTACCTTATAGCTGGTGTATCTTCAATTTCTCTTTGTTGCTTTCTCTTTGTTATATCACATAGGAATGTAAATTAATCCATTCACTGATAGTTGTCAATGCAGTGCTACTTTCTTAAGTCTTAACGTGCACAGAGACTTTTAAGTCCTATATTGATCCTTTGTTATATTTTTGTACTTATTTTGGAAGAATCCCAGTGCTAATTACCTCTGACACACTGGTTTCTTACCTTTACATTTGGTCTATCTTTTTCCTTCAATTGTCACGGTGTCAGTTGTAAGTTTAGTCCTGTGTGATTGCTGCGGTTTATCATCATTTATGTTGAATGGATCTTTTGTATGTTATTTATAAATTATTATGTTATATGGTTCATCTTGAGTATATTGTCTGAATTGTTTGTCTTTGTAGCTCTTATTGTCCCCCGGTTTACCAACCCCCTTCTTCTCTCTTCTCCTCCTGCAAATTAGCATACTTACACCAACAGTTTTGAAAATGCAGGGTTCTAATGGTCCTAGCTTGGGTTCCAAGTGCAATCAATCAGATGATGATCGTAAAGCCAATCAGAAATCGTCATCAAGCTCTCCTCAAAGTTCATCAGCCCAACATGATAATGTACAAAGAAGTGAGGATTTTTCAAATCAAAGTGACCTTAGTTCAGCAATGCAGGCTAACCAGTCTGGTGAAATTTTAGAAGATAATCCTGCAGAGACAAGTTCAGAACATAAGTTAATTGATAACAGTCTATCCTCGTGCATTCAGAATTCCACATCCACATTCAATGAACCAGTGCCTGGTGCACAGAGGCCTTCTATTTTGGGATGCGCCCCTGTGAGTATAACCATATTCTCTAGATTCATGATATAGCTTTCTCCTTTGTTGTCTTTGTTTAGTAGTATAACTACATTATCTAGCTATATCACAGCCTCATAGTGGATATTCCACTGCGGGTATAAGTATGCAAATTCCTTCAAATTTTTATTTTAAGTTCTAAGAAATTTGTTAGGTGTAAAATAAAATTTATCCTTCCTGGGAGAGCCCCTTAATTTATCAATGTTATCAATTATGCCCTATGGACTCTTAATTTTGCCAGTGTAACTTTCTATTTTGTTGGTATTGGAACTTTGAACTTTTTAGTATGCACAGGCAAAGGAGAAGCCTTCCATGGAATCCGTTGATCTTCCCTATGAAGACGAGTAAGTGATACATCGCTCACCCATTTAAAATTTTCAAGTACAAATCTAGTTACAATTGTTTGTTAATTTTTTTCACAGTGATTGCTTTTGTGAGTGTCTTTGTAACCAGATACTATTGCCATTACTCGTTCATTCATCTGACTTTAGTTTATAGTGTGGTATAGAGACAAAAGTTTAGACAGGTTACAGTATGCACCACTGCTACAAGTCAAAAGGTGGTTTTAAATTTTTATGCCTCAGATATGTCCTATATTTGGAAATGCCCTTGTGTAATCAAGAATGCCCCAAGGACATTGTAATCCTGAAAAGGGAACCCTTTGATGATCTTCACAATTGGAAATAGTCATTATATGTAATGAATTTTGTGAATTTTCATATATTTGTTGTCAGTTTCTTTTTGTTCATTTCACCCAAGACCTCAATCTTTGTAGCACTATTCTACAATCAGGTTCCTGTTTAATGACAAATGTAAAAATACATAAATAGCCTTAGCAATTATGTTGGAAAGGCATGTTGTAGTGAAAATGTAATTATATCTGACCTTATGATGTTTTCATTTTTATTTTGTTAAAATGCATTAAGTCTCTACATTTGTCCTGTTCTACGTACCTTTTAATGGCTTTAATTATTTTCCTTGAAGTTTGGCTATGTAATCAGCAGGCGTTCACATTTTTATTTGGTCATCTGTAGCTTGCTCTAGAATCTATTGCAAACTTGTTTGACATTTAATACTTTTGACCCTTTCTCAATGGCTCCAAATTGTTCAATCTGTCTGATTTTTTGACCCATCAATAGGGCTGAGATTGAAAGGCTTGAGAACATCAAAATTGACCTGCAAAACAGAATTGCAGAAGAGGTAGGCACTTAATTTTTTTTCTTATTATGATCTATCCTTTTGTTAATTTTTTTGATGATATTTAATCTTGATGATTTTCCCCCATCATTCATTATAGGCTAAAGTGAATGCACTTCTACAAGCAAGTCTGGAGACACGAAAGAATGCTTTGCACGAGCGTCGTCTAGCTCTTGAACAAGATGTATTTGTTTCTTGCCATTTTTAATAATGTTTTGTTTTCCTTTCATCATATATGCGTCTGGTTATTATTTATGCATTGATATATCACGCCTGATGTGCTTTACTTTCTAATATCAACATGTTCAACATACTAAAAGGATGTAACTGTGTCACCTATTCTTGAGTTCATGAAACATTAGTGTAAAGAGGTGGCTTGGCAATCTAAATTGTGGCCCCAAGTATCTAAGGCTCTACATATTTTTGGGTACACATTTTTGTGTCTTAAGGATTGGGGTTTAGGGTGTTTGGACACTGTCCCACACCCAATTCTCATACAAACCCAAGTCCATGTAGCACTACTCAAAGATGATCTCTCGAGGCCTTTAGTAATTGAAAGAGATCTATTAACAGTTGTTGACGGGTGAATGAGAAACAAAAGAGGCCTTGAAATTATTACTCTGAATCAGGTGTTATCCACATTTCGAGCTAGTGAAATAATCATGAGGAAGTATCTGAACACATTAGGCCATAAAATGGCAAGGAAGATGGATGTTGCTGTATTCATTCATCCATGAGTGTGGATCATGAATGCATTGACTCCAGATATGAACTAAAGTTGCTGCGACAGTTTATCATTCTTCAACCCAATTCATATTCACTTCAAGCTCCTCCTTTTCAAACTATTTTCTTCAATACTTGTAAACATAATTTCTTTGTATCTCCATATTTGATCCATTTTTCTGTTGATACCTCTGAACTAAATATTTTTTCCTTCCTTTTGCTGTCTTGATATGACAACCTTAGTAGGTGCATTTACATACCTGCTCCACGTACTACTAACCTTGACAGCGAGGGATTTATTGACAATAGGCATTGATTGCATTCCAGGTGGCAAGACTACAGGAACAATTGCAGAAAGAGAGAGAATTAAGGGCAGGGTTGGAAGATGGACTTAAAATGCCTCAAGGGTCCTTACCTACCTCAACCACTATTGGTGAAAAGGTCTGTTTACCTTGCAATCACTGATATAATTGGTTTTGTTCATTTACTAAAATATTAACTGTAAATGCATCAAAGACGAAAGCAGAGCTAGAGGAAATTGCTCGAGTGGAGGGAGGTGCCATGAATGTGAAGCAGAAGACAGATAACCCTGAAGTCCAACTTAATCAACAACATGAACATGGTTTTGTGTATGGTTCATACAATCAACCCCAACAGACTCCCAATAATCAAGTAAAACTGTAAGTTATTTATTTCTTGTTGGTTTAGCAAGTATATAGTCATCCCTTGTTTCATTACACACTTTCACCCCTTATTCACCTTAATTCTAAGCACTTCTCCCTTGAGTCTCCTTTTTTTTTTTTTTTTCCTTCCCTTTTCTGTCCTGTCTTTTTAGTGCTTGTGAGTTTTCAAATATAAGAACATGCTTCATTTGAACTTAATTGTCCACTGAATTTCATGTAGAAAGCTTTTAGTTGCTCAAAAATAGATGACTTGTATACTGGGTGCTCATCCTTTGGTGTATTCAGTTTACTTCCCATTCTTTTTATGCTCATAATTTGGGTACAGGAAGGAGAAAGAGGACATTGAAACTGCAGCTAGTTTACGTATTCCTGAGAGGTCAACAAGAAACAAGGTATACATTCATGTTGGTCTGAAACTTTCAATTATTTGTCAATAAGTATTAAGTTTGCATCCCAAAAATTGGTTGAATTTATGGATTTCCTGAAGCTAAATTTTGAACTGAAATCCCTGGATTCCCATTGGAAGTTTGAAACTCTGTTATCCTCTCCCACAAATCTTTTCCTTTACATTTGGTCAAGTTGCCAATAAAGTTAGGCCATTTCCAGCATTATCAACAGGATCAGGAACAGCCAAGCTCATTAAATATTAACTTGGGTGTTCGAAGGGGTAGATTTGGAGGGTTTACATTACTAATTACTAACGCAGGTCTCTCCCAACTATTACACTGAAGAATATTGCATTGCATCCAATCGAAGTGTACATAAACTCTGTTATAAATTTTTAACCCTTCTGACTCGTACACTTTTCCTTATTACTGTTCTGAGAATATATTTTTTAGTTCTTATAACTTTTGAGAGAATTTGACAGAAATCAAATAGCAAAAAGGCGGGACTTGTGATTTACTTGATTTACCAAATGGACCTCATTGAGTGATAGGCCTTTATCTCTTTTCACTGTTGCATGGCTAGTTTTATTAGTTGCCTGACCTGAATAGGATTTTTGATACGAGAGCCATGTAAGTTGTTAGAATTTACCATTCACACTCACCTACTACACTCCACCTACCACCAATTTACCCTCACCTACTCCTCACCTACTACCCAAACCCTCTCCTATATAATGATTTACCAAATGGACCTCATTGAGTGATAGGCCTTTATCTCTTTTCACTGTTGCATGGCTAGTTTTATTAGTTGCCAGACCTGAATAGGATTTTTGATACGAGAGCCATGTAAGTTTAGAGAAGAGAAAGAGTTAGGGAATGAGTTAGACTTCATTCCCTTTTATATTGATCATACTGAGTAATTACAGGAGTGCCATAAGGCATAATTACATCAATTAAAGGAATAAATAAGGATAACATACAATCAATTGTTTCCTGTTCTAACACTCCCCCTCAAGCTGGTGTGAAGATATCTTTCATGCCTAGCTTGTTGAGAATGATTACACTTGGAACCCTTAGTGGAGTTACCTAGAGGAAAAAATCTGTCCCTGATACAGACGAAATGGTACTATTAGCAATACGCACTTTTTCTTGACCTGAGGAGGGGTTATACTCTGAAAATGAATTAGAGGAGCCAGACATATGGTCTGAAGCACCAGAATCAATAATCCATGGTACAGTCGTATGAGATAGCAATGCATATGGAGAGAAAGCCAAGTTACCTGAATTGGCAAAGGAAGAAGAGGGTGCACTTGTAGCAGAAGTAGAGGCCCAACGGTCTAGAAAAATGGCGAAGAGCAATCTTAAAATCCGAGGCAGATAATCTCGAAACATCAGCAGCGGAGGAGACGACTGGAGATGCAGATGGTGGCTCAACAGTGTCTAAAAGATGGGCTCGTGCATTGGCCCCTCGGCCTCTAGTATCCGACCAACCCCCTTGAGTACTAGGACGGTCTCCTCGGCCACCAGAGGGAGTTCCATGCAGCTTTCAGCAAGTCTCTTGTGTGTGGCGAGATTGACGACAGTAGTCACAGTAAAGTTTATCCTTCTTAGAGGAAGGATGAAAACCTCGAGTCATTGAGTACCAGGACGGTCTCCTCGGCCACCAGAGGGAGTTTCATGTAGCTTCCAACAAGTCTCTCGTGTGTGGCGAGGTTGACGACAGTAGTCACAGTAAAGATTATCCTTCTTAGAGGAATGATAAGAACCCCGAGTCACACTATCGCCATCACGAGAGGGTGCAGAAACCAAGGCCAAGCGATCAGTAATAGCAGAAGGAAGCATCGCAGAATGGCCACTCTCCTTATTCTGCACAAAAGCGAAGGCTTCCTAGAGAGAAGGAAGCACATCTATGCCAAGTACTCTGTTCCGAACAGGATCATACTCTATATTGAGGCCTTCCAAGAACTTGAAGACCCGCTCTTGTGCCATAAACTTCTGGTAATCAACAGAATCAATGGGATAGACAGGTTTGTAATCCTGAAGGTAATCAAGTTGCTTCCACCCATTGTTAAGGAAGGTAAAATACTTAAGGATTGTCATCTCACCTTGTACCGACTTTTCAATGGAGTGACGTAACACAAAAGCCTGGCAGAAGTTTCCTTTATGGGAGTAAGTGGTAGTCATTGCCTCTCAAATATCTAGTGCAGTGTCCATAGAGAGATAGCCTTCTCTGATCTTCGGGACCATAGACTGTATTAACCAACCCATAATGAGGGAGTTGGTGATCTCCCACTGACCATAACTCGGGTCCGTGGTAGTGGGTGCCTGTACCCTGCCATCAACATACCCCATCTTCTCTCGGTTTTTCAAGAAAATAGTCAGATTCTGCAACCATGCTAGAGATTTCTGACCATTGAATAGAGAAATGGTGATTTTAAGGCCAGGGCTGAGATTATCAGTCATAGTAGAAGATATAATGGAACTCTCGCTCTGAGGCGGCTGAGAAGTTGTTGACTCACTAGTGAAATCTGCCATGAATATTCTACTAAGCAATCTTCAAACCCAGGACCAATCACAAACTTGGAAGATGGTGGAGGAACAAGCACAATAGTAACTAAAAAAGCATAAAGAATTAAGAATCCGGTTTTTTTTTTTTTTTACAGCCTTTTTTTTTTTTGTGGGTGTTTTGTTTGTTTGTTTTTCCTTTTCTAGGAAAACAGAGACAAACAGAGAATAAAGAGAGAAGAAAGAAAACCACGAACAACTAACCAGCGAGCCACGAAGGCACTAGACGAACAACTAGAGAGCCACGAAGGCACCAATTGACCAACCAGCACTAGACGACCAACCAGATGATCACGACGACACCAGACAACCATCCAGGGGCTGTCGACAGGCCTAGAGGAGTAGGCTAGGGCTGCTGACAAAGGCTGTGACTGCCATAGGAGAGTCGCCTAACCTTCGCCTGCGCTGGGTGGGGTGCAACTATCCTAGGCAAGGTGGTGGATGGCCTGGGCAGGCTAGGGTTTGGGCGTGGGGCCTGGGCAATCGGGGGTTTGTGTTTGGGGGCCTTCGGTGGAAGCAAGGTGGTAGGTTTCTCCTATTGTGGCTCTGATACCATGTAGGTTTAGAGAAGAGAAAGAGTTAGGGAATGAGTTAGACTCCATTCCCTTTTATATTGATCATATTGAGTAATTACAGGAGTGCCATAAGGCATAATTACATCAATCAAAGGAATAAATAAGGATAAAATACAATCAATTGTTTCCTATTCTAACAAGCCAAACTCATCTCGCAAACTAATCAGTTGGTCCAAGTTTTCCTATATGTATGTGGGGTGTTTGTGTGTGTGTCGATGGACATAGAATGTGTTTCTGTTAGTATTTCGGCAATGAATGTAAATTTTGGGTCCATTTATTGACATTGAATGTGTACCTAATATATTTCACGTGACCAACATAAATCTTGGGAAGAATAACTTTTTATATTTGGCAGGATGCTCAATGGGATAAGGCAGACAGTGACAAAGAGATGAAACCAGACATTTCCAATAAACATTTACCTCAGAACCAGCAGTTGGATACAGCACACAACTCCAAATCTATTGGGGTTCCACCAGCTACTAAATCTGCCACAGAACTGGTAACAAGCAGGCCTGCCAATTCAAAGAAGTCTGGTACACGGGGTGAGGTAGGCTTCATTATCCTTGTCCATGCTTGATTTCTGTATTCAGTGGCGGACAGAGAGGCGGGTGGGCATTGCACTTTTGAATTTTCATTTGGCCTCAATGCTTTTTACAGGTGGCTACCCAAAATATATGTTATCTTATCTTGACTGCCCCAAAATCAAATTAATTTTACCTTGGCCCCTTCAAAATTTTCTTGAATTCCTTCTAATGAAACTCATTCCAACTTTTCTATTGCTCTGTATAATTCAGATATAGCTACTGTTAAGTTGTTAGATGATGGGTAGTTTGGTAATTGTTACTAAGTTGCTTATTAGTATAAATAATATTGTGTTAGAGAGGACAAAACCGATTTTAGGTTTTGTGCCTCTTCCTTTCATATTACTCTGTCATCTTTATTCTTCTCTCTCTCTAAATTTCTTCTCCTTACAATTTTAACTTGGTACTGGAGCAACAGAAATCTTTGATTTCTTTGGTTGTTTTGTGTTCTTCCTCTAATTTTCCTGTTTTTTTTTCTTGTTTTGTTTTGTTTTGTTTTTTTTTCTCGTCTGATGATGTAAAAAAAATAAAAATAAAATCACAGCCATGCTCGACTAGGGCTGGGGAATTCCCAGAAAAAGTTTCAAATTTTTCCTACCACTTTTGCCTATTTTTCGATTTTTTCTTTATTTTTCTGAAAAATTGGGTCGTTCTTCAGATTCTCGATTTCCACCTGTTTTTTGCTTGAATCAAGGCCTGGGTCAGCCCTTGTAGGTGCCGACTGGACCCCTTGAGACTCTTATTGGCTTTGGTTTTTACTTCTTGGGTATTTCTAGGTGTTTTTCAGCCTCTAAGTTCTATCAGGTGTGTTGTTTTGCCTGTGTGTTGTTTCTTGCTGCTACTGGTTGGTTTTTAGTGGAAAATCATATTCTTCTATCATCTCCTCAGTTTTTGGATACAGTAGTGTGTTCTTGATCCATGGGTGAAGAAGGTGATATTCTTCTCAGCAGTGAGACTAAAAATCTAAGTCCTACTGTAACACTGGGTGACTCCCATTCCCTTCAACTTACTACTAAGCTAAACGTCACCAATTACTTGGTTTAGTCCTGTTCTTTTCAATTGGCTGTTACTGCTCGGGGCTTGTTGGGGTACATCAAAGGTGTTACTTGTTAAAACCTATCACCTACTTCACCCACTTAAACCTACTCCACTAAACCTAGCCCACTACACCACTACCACCTCACCTACTCCACTAAACCTAACCCACTACACCACTACCACCTCCACTTCACCTACTCCTTACCTACTACACACTCACCCTCTTCTATATATAGGAATCATGAATCATTGTAATATAAATAACATTAATCAATATTACATCAATAATACAATTCTCTATTTCTCTTTATACATTCAATTTCAACATGGTATCAGAGCAGGTTTAGAATCTAATATTTTCGCTTCACCGGCGGGCGGCAACCTCACCTTAGCCGTCCGCCGGACCTCAACCAAATTCCGCTAAAGTTTTCTACACGCCCTCACTCCGCCGCCGTATTTCACCGCCGCTCATCTTCCTCCGGCCAAATTCCTCTCAAACTCCATGTCTTTGCCACTGCTAGGCAGTCGGTCTATGCTTACAGGAGTAAATGATGCCAACACCTCTGTATCAGAAGGAACTTGTGATACTGTCCATACACAAGTAGATTATGACCCCACTCTGGAAGACTTAGTTGCTCAGGTGATGGTTCCTGTAAGATCCCCAGCCGTGGCACTTATTGTCACTAATGCCTTGATGTTGCGTACGCCTTTTGAAGCTCTGGCAGAAACATGTGAGGCTGATAGATCTGCTTTCGACATGCCCTTACTGCTATTTGTAGCCCTTGTAGGGGCCACAGTTGGAGGACTGCTTGCAAGACACAGGAGAGGAGAATTGGAACGGCTGAATGAGCAGTTGCGCCAGATCAATGCAGCACTAAGAAGGCAAGCAAAGATCGAGTCTTATGCCCCCACTCTGAGTTATGCTCCTGTTAGTGGTAGAATACAAGAAAATGAAGTAATTGTTGATCCAAGGAAGCATGAATTGATTTCCCATTTGAAATCTGGAAAGAATTTTCTGAGGAACCAAGATCCAGAGAAGGCATTTGTGGAGTTTAACACTGCTGTGTTGTTTTTGAGAAGAGTCAGAAAACTTGCAACGAAATTCCTCTCTCTCACTTTACTTTTTCAAACCCACAGCTCCTTTTTCTTTCACCACATGATCCCCTTTCTTTTCTTTTCTTTATTTTCCACTTTCAAACCCACAATCCTTTTTTTAAATCAACCCACTCAACTTTCTTTTATTTTAATATATATCTATATATATATATGTTTATTATAACATATTGCACAGATTCACAAACCCATTTTCTTTTCTTCTTTTCTTTCTTTATTTATTTCTTTCTTTTTATTCCTTTATTACATCTATACCCATATCCATCATCACACTCTTTATTTATTTATTTCTTTTAATCACCTTTTGCACCTCCCTCACCGACTCCCTCACCACAAAATAGAATTTTTATTTATTTATCTTATCTTTTTTTTCTCTCTCGCTACACTCTCTCCATCAGATTTATTTTGAAGGCTGTTGTGGCTCTCGAGTACGGATTTGAAGGTATTCTATCAGATCTGTTCTTCTCTCTCCTGATTTTGTGAGTGTTTCAATTTGTTCACCCTTTTTTTTAGATTATAAACATTATAACTCAGATCGCGCTTCTCTCTTTTGATTTTCTGTTTTTATTAGATCTAGTTGTTCCTCAATCTATCGTTTATGATTTTCTGGTTTTATATTAGATATCATTGTTTGTCAATCTGCTGCTTCTTGCTATTTTTTCAGATCTGTTTGATAGATATAGATTTCTGTTCACTTTTTGTTTTTTCCCCTCAGATCTGTTCGTCGATCTGTTTTGATTCATTAATTTTTGTGGCCTTTCTCTTATATTGATCTATATATAAATATATATATATATATATATATATATATATTAAAAGAAAAGAAAATGGTGAAATCGTGGGTGGAAGAAAGTAAGGGAAAGGAGGGATATGATTAAAGTGGGTTTGAAAAAGTGGGAAAATGTGATGATAGTGGTGAGTGGAGCATAATGGAGAATAGAAAAGGTGTATATAATAATAAGAAGAAAAGGGAAATGGGTTGGCCGAGGAGGTGCAAGTCAGGTCTCTAATAATAAAAAGGAATGGGGGTGCCGGGTGAGGATTGGTGTTGTAATAAATAAACCATGGTGGGTGTGCTTTGAAGAATAGATGAGAATAAACATATACATAGAAATAATAAAAGAAAAGAAAGTGGAGTGGGGTTGATATTATATTCTCCAAGAACTGAAGCCTTCATCTCGGCAAGGACGGCTCCGGGTTTCGAGGGTCTTCATCATTGGTGCCCTCTTCACGTCCTTCTTAATGCGCCTCACCACTGACTGCACTTCATCATTATTCATATTCCCTGAGATTATAATCAACACTCTATAATAAAAATTCTCCAACGAGAGCATGACCCCAGAAGCCACAGACAGTTTGAAGAAATCCCAAAGCCCAACAAAAGCTTGTTCGGAAAAAACAGTCCAAGACTGAGGACACCCACCACAACCCACGTAGCAAAACAGTCCCAAAACAAGAAGCCGAAGGTGATGCCGATGATGACGGTGGTGACAATAGAGATGGCGGCGAGGTCGTGATCGCTGAGGTGACCGGCGAATGCTTGAGTGATGACGGTGAGGGAGAACATGGCGAGGCGGGTGAAAATGGAGGGTCCAGCAATGTGCCACATCTTCTTTGACTCTACCCATGTCCGTCTGATCAAATTCCCACTGTTGGATTCTTGTTGCTGGTTGGTATGGTGCTGAGATTAACAGGGGTTGGTTGTTTTCGTTTTCTTGTGCGCCCAATCCCATGAGTTGGATCCACAGAATCCGGAGGAGACAGAGTGTAATGGACGGAGACGAGAGGGCGAGCAGGGGCCATTTCTGCTGGTGGTGGAGAGAACGGAAGAGAGGCTAGGGTTAGGGTTTTGGGGGGTACAGTAGCGGGGGTCTCCGGAGCAGCCGGTTTCTGGGTTTCGTCAGCCATATCTTAACTTGATCAAACCACAGAGAGAGAGAATTGTATGTGTCTGTGTTTTGTGCACTCAGCAGGTTGAAGAAAGGAAATTTTAAGGTATGTGTAGAAAATTTTAGCAGACTAGGTTGAGGTCCGGCGGACAGCTAAGGTGAGGTTGCCGCCCGCCGGGGAAGCGAAAATATTAGGTTCTAAACATGCTCTGATACCATGTAGAAATTTAATGTATAAAGAGAAATAGAGAATTGTATTATTGATTGATTTATATTGATATTTATTACAATGATTCATGATTCCTATATATAGAAGAGGGTGAGTGTGTAGTAGGTAAGGAGTAGGTGAAGTGGAGGTGGTAGTGGTGTAGTGGGTTAGGTTTAGTGGAGTAGGTTTAAGTGGGTGAAGTAGGTGGAGAGTAGGTGGATTTTAACAATAGGCTTATGGACTGTGAAAAAAAATTTGAGGGTTTGATTAGAAGGATAGGACTATTGTGGAGTACTATTCCGAGATGAGTAGCTTGTGGTAGGAATTTGATTACTATCAGAATTTCCAGGCTGTTTGTTCTCAAGATGCTAAAATGTTCTAGCAGATGGTATCCAAAGAGCGTGTTTATGACTTTCTTGCTGGTCTCAACATGGAGTATGATCTGATTCGTGTTTAGGTTCTTAGCCGTGATCCGTTTCCTACCGTGTGTGAGGCTTATGCTTATGTTCTGTAGGAAGAGAGCCGGAGGAGTGCTATGGTTCATTAGCCTCTCCAAGATCGCTCTACCTTAGCCGTTTCTTCTGCACCTATAGATGGGAAATTTGCTGGGCCCAATTCTGGGGGAAAGGCTCCTCTACCAATCGTGATCAGATTATTTGTGATTACTATGGGAAAGGACGTCATGATGGGGACCATTGTTGGAAATGGCATGGTCGTC